AAAAAGGTGACAAATTATGTAGTTTCAGTTTATAGCGAGAATAAATGAATTTTGGTCCGTGTATCGTGCTTATTAGAGCTATAATTAAAGCTTACAGCAAAGAGCGCACAAGCCGCAAATATTGTGGCACGGCCCCTTTAAGGCCTGACTACACATGTGCGTTGAAGCCCATCAGCGCATAACTTTCTGACATGACATCGTGCCCTCTCTCTATGGAGAGGGTGCGAGAAGTTGTAAAGACTGCACTCTTTTTTTATAAATGTGATATCCATATATTGTAAGTGCAATAAAATGGGTCATTTTTGAAAATTTTAGAGTGAAAAATTTCAACTTCGCATGCCGCTTTGAGTCCTTGAAAAACTTGCGACGGGTCCTGGAAAGTCTTTGAATATCTTTGAATTTTTTGTTTTGAAAATGTGTATGAATCTTGTGTAGGTTGTAGGTTCGGTGCCTACCTGTGGCAAGTTGATTTTTTATTCAGTTCAATTTCTTTTATGCTACAATTGCTATACTACAGCTCCAACACACAGGTAGTATCCTCTGTGCCTTTGTTAGCTTTATTGTCTGTTGGTTTCATTAGTCATAAGTCACATTGCTCAAGGGAGGGGCAGACAGATTAGTATAGAGAATGTCAATAAGCCCTCACTATACCCGCATCCTATGAGCATTTGGAATGTCTTAAATTGGTATGACTCTGGGAAAGCACAAGCCTCTACACCGAACATTACAAAGGCCGTTGCGCCAGTAGTCTATCAAGTCAATAAACCACACCACAACTTTCTATAGTTTTGGTGCTCCAAGAACTTGACTGATTCATCATCACCACCATCTGCATGACTGCACCCACTGTGGGGCAAAGGCCTATCCATGTTTGCCAGTCAACCTGCTCTTGTGCTTTCTGCTGCCACGTGCAAGCTTTTTAAAAAAATCTCATCTGCCCACCTCTCTTTCTGAAGTCTTACCCGTACATGGTTCCCGTCTTCTGACTGGCTGGCTGGAGCGCGCCCAGCAGTGTGCCACCTGTTTCCCATCTTTCTTCCGCATTTGGACGTCGTGAAGCTTTCTCAACTCTCGACTCAAAAAGGAAAGAGGGAATGCGTTTTGCCACAACAAAATGCTGCCCCCAGAAATCCGCTCTTGGATGCACATCTTTGAAGCCATGCATGAACTTTAATCGCATTAGCACATGAATAAGGTTTAACGTGGCTGCCCACCCGACGCACCTCAATGGTCAATACACATTCCCTGCATCGTTCTTCAAACATCTCAACACGTTCATGTGAGGGTATTGACACCGCGAGAACAGCTCTCTTGCATATGCGCTACTTGCCCGGCCCATGTCCATTGCTTCTTCTTGAATTCAATTATGATATCCTTAATCCCCATTTGTTCCTGACCAACTTTCTTCCTTTCCAATGTCTTGAGGTTACACCTATCATTCTCCTTTCCTTTGCTCGCTGTGTTGTCCTCGATTTCAGTTGAACCCTCTTTGTAAGCTGCCAGGTTTCTGCCCATAGGTAAGTAGCAGTTAAATGCAGCTGTTATGTATCTTCCTCTTCAGGGATAGTGGTAGACTACCAGTCATTATTTGAGAATCCTTGCGATTTTAATTTTTCAAATATTTCGCTCTCATGGTTTGGCTCCGTAATTATTACTTGTCCTAAGCAGACATATTCCTTTACAACTTCCATTGTCTCACAACCTATTGCAAAGTGCTGTTTTCTGCAGATACTGTTGCCCATTACTTTAGTTTTATGCATATTAGTTTTCAGGCCTACTCTTCTGCTTTTCGTGTCCGGTTCAGTAGTGATGCTGTAATTCATCCTCTGAGTTACTCATCAGTGCAAACTCATCAGCGAATTGCAGGTTACTAAGATACTCTTCATTAACTCTTGTTCCTATCTCTTTTCAATCTAGGGCCCTGACCTCCTGTAAACACGTGGTGAATAGCATTGGCGAGGTTGTGTCTCCTTGCCTTACACCCTTCTTTATTAGGATTCGCTTGCTTTCTTCGCGAAGGACAATGGTGGTTGTGGAACTGCTGTAGATCTCTTCCCGTATGTTTATATAGGTTTCGTTGATGCTTTGATTCTGCAGTGCCTGCATGACTGCCGACCAAATCAAATGCCTGCTTGTAATCTATGAAAGCTATGTATTGGGGTTTGTTGTATTCTGCACGTTTCTCTATCACCTGATAGTATGACTATTGTTGAGTAGCCTGTATAAAATCCTGCTCTAAACTGGTTCATTGAACTCTAACATCGTCTTAACTATATAAGCTAATATTTTTGTAAGTAGCTTCAGACAACAGACAGTAAGCTGTCTGGCTTGATTTTTTAAAGTCCTTGACATCCCCTTTTTTATGAACTAGGCACTTTTTTCAATATTTTAGTAGCCTTCATATCACAAGACACTTCGTATACAGGGTGGCCAGTTTTTAACACAATCTCTCCACCATCTTTACGCAGGCCTGATGTTACCTTAGTCTCACCAGCAGCTTTTCTTCTTAGCATTCCCTCTAAGGCTTTCTTTACTTTCCCTGTTGTTACTGGTAGGATGTCAGATTCCTTTGTGCTGTTACTGCTTCTTACATTATCGTTTTAGTTGTCTTGGCTGCTGTACAGATTTCTGTAGAACTCCTCTGCTACCTCAACTATCCTATCCATATTGGTTATGATCTTGCCTATGTGCAGTTTTGCCTTCACAGCTTTTAGGCTTCTTCAGATTTTTATACCCCATGTTCGATTATCTTCATACTAAAGCACCTTCTTATGTTTGCTACCTTATGCCTATTGTTTAACTTCGAAAGCTCAGACAGCTCTATTTTGTCTGTCGCATTTGAGGCTTTCATGATTTGACATCTCTTAACTATAAGATTTTTAGTCTCCTGGGATTGTTTGCCTATGTCCTTTCTAATGAATGCATATCTGCTGTTCATTGTGTCAACGCTAACGTCATTTACCTTGTTTGATGCCTCGAATCTATTCTGAAGCAAAACTCTGAATTCTTCTACTATCACTCTCACCGTTAGTTCATTAATTGGCTTCTTCAGTATAGTTTTTGTCTTTGTTCTTTTATATCTAGGTGAATGCGAGCTTTTACCATTTTATGGTTGCTGAATCAGATCTTTCCAACTACTTCTACATCCTGTACAGTGCCTGGCTGTGCACACAGAATGAAGTCTATTTCATTTTTACTTTCTCCATTAAGACTTCGCCACGTATACTTACCAATTAGCCATGTTTCCTCAAGAAGGTATTCAAAATCCGTAAATTGTTAGACTTTGCAAACTCTAATAATAACTCCCCTCTGGCATTTCTAGAGCCGATGCCATATTCCCACACTGCATTGTCTCCACCCTGTTTCTTGCCTACTCTGGCATTAAAGTCGCCGATAAAAATAGTATACTGTGTCTTTACTTTATTAACTGTGCGGTTTCCTCGCTCATGCTGCTGATGCACGAGTTCGCAGTTTGGACATCAGAGCGAGCGAAAGTGGCCGAACTCATTGAATATTCACTCGCTTCCTCGCGTAAGCAACCGGAAAACTGCACCGCGAAGTCGACACGAAAAAAAAAAAAAAACGAGTCCTGGAGAATTTGCATTAGAGAATTCAAGCAAAAATACCAGCGTGGCCAGAAAACCACGCCCGCGCCCGTCGAAAACGTTTTCAAATTCGTTCTGCCCCTCGTATATATGCCATTCCCGCCGCTGCCATCGCTGCTTGAGAATTTATACCATTTTGCCCAGTTCCTGATCATTGAAGTTCGTACTGAGTTATAATTATGCATACAAGACACTGAAAAGAAACGGTTTACACCTTTACGAATGTTATTTCGGAAGACACGCCAGCCGAAATGACATGAGCGGACACAACGGCGGCGGCGGATTCAGCCGGCAATGCAAAAGCAAGACACGTTCGAGCAAGCCGACCCTCTACTACTGCACCTTCTTCTACGTCCTGTGTTATTGATCGTAATCCAAGCCAGGCTCTCGACGACCGCGTCCCTGTCAAGGCTGTGAGCTTTGACGTGCCGCAGGGATAGTTCGCGATAGCGCCGACGCGCCCCACGGCCGATGCCTTTGTCGCCATGTTGATTTGCGGCTGGTTGTTGACATCACGTGGTTTGAAAGATAGAGCAGCCGGTGAAGCCAAAGCCGTGAAGCAAAAAGGTGATACTATCCTATCGCGTAGCAGGAAAATTGGTCTCTGACCAATTTTTTCCCGTCGGTCTCGCGGTGTGTTTTTGCCGCGTTGTGCCGCTGGCATGCAGCGGTCAATCGCACATTCATATCACCCAGGGTGGCTGGGGAAACTATTCGTATAACACCGAATCATGGTGTATTCTATATAATGTAGTTCATCCAAACCAACCTTAAAATTCGTATCATCGCAAAATTTGCATCAACCGTAATCATATTATTGAGATTCTACTGTATTAGGCAGGATCTTGAACTTGGTGCTTGCTTTTATTGATTGATATGTGGGGTTTAATGTCCCAAAACCACTATATGATTATGAGAGATGCCGTAGTGGAGGGCTCCGGAAATTTAGACCACCTGGGGTTCTTTAACGTGCACCCAAATCTGAGTACACGGGCCTACAATTGGTGCGTGCTTTTCAACTACTTTGTAAAAAAAGGTTTTTGTATTTGGCTGGTACACATGATATTGCAGTTCAGGTATTGTGTGGCTTAAAAATTAAGTTTTATTCTATTCTGGTGCCATTAGTTTGTTAGGGATATCGAAGACAATAGAAACATTTTACAGTTCCTTTTTCAGTGAGAGGATAATTGGTGACCACTGTGGAGCCTATAACCATAACCAGTTAATATATTGAGTGTACTGTATTGTGTATGTGCACATCGGTGATAACATAAGTAAGCATACAGAGTTACAAGCCAATGGGCTGTATCCCCCTCCCCCTTTTTTTTTGTTCTTTCTTTAATTCCGATGAACCAGCTAAATTCTCTTGGCATTTCTATTTCATCCGATGCTCAGATGGAAGAGGAGATTGAAAAGTTGAGTGGTGGATTGAAGAATCGAGAACACACATTGCTTCTAGCCAGGCTAATGGTCCGAGGAGAAGACATAGACACACGGCAGCGACTCTTGAACATCATCAAGGTGGGCTCTTCTCTCTAACGTCTCCCATCTACTTCATGTGTTTTCACTCAGAAATAGGTCTCGCCCGATTTTCTGGTACTGTTCCTGTAAGAGTGGCTAAATAACTACCATGGGATTTAGCTAATGTGATTTGTTTTTGGGAACCATTGCTACAAATTTCCCTCTGAATATTTTTTGAATTGGGAGAAGTATGGACCTGCTGACCTGACATAATTGTAGTTGAAGTTTAGTTTGACTGAGATTCATCAAGCTAACTAATACATTCTAAATCTTGATGTCATTATACAGAATACCGCATGGCGAACAGTGTTCATGGAAATCGTGACACCACATAATTCTGATATTGAAGCTGTCATTCTGTGAAAGAGCAAGGTGTCGCTATCATTTCTATTTGGGAAATGGGATTTGTGTCTTTCTTGTGCTGACAGAACACAACAGAGACGGCCTGCCTTCGCTTGTTTCTGGATTACCATGGTCTTTCGCTGCTGTGGAGCTGGATGGCAGACATTCCCGATAACGAGCTTGCTCTCAAAGCCGAGGTAAAGTGTCGATGCTGCTTCTAGTTGGCTCTGTCAAATGCTTCAAAAGTGTTGCATTTTGTGTTTGGACTGACATGTTTAGGTTAACGGTTGTAGATGTCAGTGTGGCTCATGCATGCGCTCTCCATAAGTGCAGACACTGTGAACAGAGACATCCTATTTTTCAGAGAAAAAAGGGGGAGGTCATATCTACAGTGTCTGCTTTTGACCACATCCCCTATAGGATTTTTCGCTCATGTTTTAAATGAGGTGTTTCACGACGTGTCTCGTGGTACCAAAACCTGACCTGTGCAAGCCTACTTGAGAAGTTTTCTGTACTTGGCCAAAGTCAGTGATCCCACTCCTGCGCCACCTGCGCCAAAGTGCGCTAAATCAGATTTACTGCGTCATCCTGATAATATCAATGAAAATTGCGCCAAACTGTGCCAAAGTCAGATTTGGAAGCGTTTATCACTGGCAATAGCTACGCCGGTGTGTCAAGAGGTGTGCATTTTGTTCTCGGGTCCACCAAAGTCACAATCGGGTGCCTAGAATTATCATACTGAATTAACAGCGGTCGTGCCTGCGTGCTGAGTAGTCCACGATGCTATGTTTAGTGCCGGCGCAACTTCTGTTGTGCAAGTCCGCTTAACGGTGAAACGCGCTCTCCGCAAGAGCATGGGACGTCTCTCCGCAAGAGCATGGAGTCCAATAAAAAAACGAAGTCTGTTATATCGTGTAGTTACAGCACAGAGAAATGAGTGCCGGAGGAGGTTGGCTTTATGAGACTAGCTAAATGACATCATGTCAAGGCTAGCAGTATAATCGGTTATGAATGAAAAGAACTTTTCTATATTCTTGGAGTCATCTAAGGGAAATGCGGTTACGACTGTGTGTATCTGTAGTGTTGTACGTCTCAGCGTTTATCTACCATATATACTGATAACCACACAGGTGTATAGAATGTTATTTCATGAAGCACAATTTTATTCCACCAGGATTCTGTTTATATGCTACGAAAATAATCACTGAACAACTTTTTCAGAATGGCCATCATAATGATGCCATTATTTTTGCATCATCAGCTAAAATAGGGAGTGCTCCTAAGATGACTGGCTTCATGAGATTTGAAATGAATGGAAATATTTCTAGCTCTTCACAGAAGACAAAAGCCCCAAGATAATTATTCATGCCCTTGAATGTAAATGCAACTTGCTTCTCCTCCAGGATGTGAAGTTAGCTGCTCCAGATTGCTCCAAAATGAAAAATTTTGCTGCTCCAAAGTGCTCCAAAATTAAAACTTCGCTGCTTCGAAAATTGCTCCAAATCAGGAGACCTTAGTGGCATCACTGCAAAGTGTAACAGATAACTTTTGCATTAGTGCATGACACACTTAATCACTTCAGAACATCATGTGTGACTAATGCCACGTTGAAGATATTGTGTGATCATAATAGAGGTATTAACTTTTTTAGGCTTCTTAAGCTTCCCTTAAGCTGTTTCATTTTTTAAATTGGTCTTCGCTGAACAATTTTTATTAAAAGGAGAAAATATTGTTTCGTTGTGTCAGATGATTATTGTTTCATTGTCAATTTTTCGCCAGATTCTGACGGTGCTCCGTCAACTGCCCATCCCCAACAAAACGATGGTGAAGGACAGCAAGGTGATGTCAGTGGTGCACCGGTGGGCATCTCAGCTGTCTGAGCAAGGGATTACAAAGGACTCTGACATTGCGCCACCACCTGACAAGCGGGCCAAGGTGACCAGTGAGGAAGCTGACAGCGATGCCTCAGAGAGTTCCGGGTTAGTTTCCTGCTTCGTTTGCCCAGTGGGTTTTTTTTGGGTGTTGGTCATGTGGATTTTAAGTGGTACTCTTCTTCTTCCTGTTGGCAGTGGTCAGACACCAGCATCAGCACCTGGTCAGCGCTCTCAGACTGGGTCTGTGGTCTGTTCTCCGGACTCTACAAACCTGGTTGAGAGCGGCGACTCGACGTCGAGTGATGGGCCCAAGGATGAGCAAGGCACCAAAATGGCCAAGGATCTTTCCGAGCTTGCATCCACGCTTTTGGACTCATGGAGCTCATTAAAGGTACACATTCATAATTTGCTCTGCTTTCAGGACTGTCTAACTGTGATGTGCATTCTAACCGTGCCACATATTCTTGAGCAGGAAGTCTTCCGGATCCCTCGCCTGGAGCAACAGAAACGTCGCGAGGATGAGCGCGAGGCAGACAGGCGAGAACGAGAACGCAATCGTCAGCAGAAGAACCGAGAATCTTCTTTCAGTAGTCGAGACTCCAACTCTCGGCGCCGCAGTCCTCCATCAAGTAGCCGTGACCGCAGTGACAGAGGTAGGACACGGAACTTTGACCACTTTGTTTTCCTGTAGTTTGTACTTTTCTGTAGCAGCAGGTAATACACAAGCCTGAATATCTTCACTGGCTTACCCTGCCAAATGTCTGTTTTACTAACAAAGTTATGGTGTCAAGTAAAGCACAATATCCTCAAGTTCTTGCGAGTTTATAATTGCAGCATGTTAAATTGCAGTGATGTAGGGCATGTTGTAGGGCGTATGGTGTTGCTTCACGTCATCTGATGTGTTGTGCTTCATGCAAATGCCGAGGTCTTGTAGTGACATTCAATTACAACGGTTTGCAAGTTACGTTGCTATCAGATCTAAATAAAACTGGGCCCAGAAGCTTGTTGAACATTTAACATGTTAAAGCCTAATGGTCTGAATTTCTGAAGTCATTCTCGTGCGAGCAATCTTGTTTGTGCTTTTATGGCATATTTGCTGCAGACTATGAAAGGTCATCTGACCGTAGACGGTATTCTGCTTCACCTGAGCAAAGAGATGACAGGAAGCCTTACCATCGGTCATCAGACCATCGTCGCTTTGGCAGTAACAGTGGGAAGGACACCAAACCTAGAAAGTGAGTATTAGTACCTGACATGGCATCTGTTCTGTTGCATGCCCTTATGAAAGCCCGAGAAAAGCCATGATGAAAACTGGAGATCTTAAACATTTTTTTTCTAGGCCACCAAATGGATGGGCCTTCTTGGCCATATCACTGAACACTGGCTCTTCATATTTTAATGTTAATGGCCCAAACAGAGCCATAAGATTGTGCTTAATGCACCTGGAGGGGACTTTAAAAGTGCTAGCTCACTTGATAAAATGGCTTTAATAGTACATTCGGTTCCTACCATGCTCCATTTTTGTTTGCATCAATGGAGAGGTCTCTCGGCTTTTGAGCCAGAGCAGTCGGAGAAGCCGCATGATTTGCTGACAGGGTGCTTTGAGCGTAATTAATGAATGTGCTCCGAATTCTCTATTTCGATGAGCTGAATGTAAACCTATGCTGCCCAAAACGACATGTCTTAAAGGCCAACTGCAACGAAATTTGGCACTTCGCAAAAAGTCAATATATAGGTAGTATAGCTAGAGGTGTAGTACTGCCTGCCAAATGTCGCCTTCGAAATACGAGCGCTTATCTTAGAAAAAAACTTGCAAACAACGGTGTTTTTGAGACCGAAACTAGAAAAAATGACGCCATTACGGCTGACCGGAAGTGACGTAAACGACAGAAAAATCGTCTGCTCCACGCTGCTCGAGCACACACATCGCGAACGCGCCCCTTACCCCTAGTTAGTAGTTCACTATGCCCCTAGTTCACACTGAAGCGCCGCCGCTTTCTACAGCAAGCGAAATTCTCCTGCCACTGAAACGCAGCGTTGTTCGGACTGGACGCGCCACGCGCCGCCGAGTGTGCCATCTACCACGAGGCGAATGTGGGATGGATGCATTATTACCCGGTTTTCGACGCGTCTCGCAAACGCTACAACGCTATCCAGTGGTCTAGACTTAGATGAATTTTCTACGTAGGAAGCAAGGAGAAGCAGTACTGCTTACTTTGCTGGCAAGTCGCTGTCATGCATGAAGAGCAAAAAAAAAAAACTCACGCCAGCGGCGTTGGTGTGCTCGTCTTGCTCTGCAAGACTGCGACGAGCTCGGTTACGACAACGACAAACTCCATCACCTGTTCTGCGAAAGAGGGACGTGAAGTAGGCACAGAGTTGGTTAAACTCCCGTTGGTTGCAACATTCAGTTACGTGCACTGCAACATGACAAGGAAATGAGGCTTGGCCGCTATTTTTAAGAATTCCTTGACTAGCACAGCCTATGGCGACGCATTGCGTTGGCATCTTACTGCAAAACTTTCAGAGTCAACCGTTCGCGAATGGGCATCACGCAGGAAAGAGAAATTCAGCAGCAGAAAAGATTGCTCACAAGGAGCGACGCAGCGATGCTCTGTAGTATTCGTCATATCTGGTTTTGTCCGATTTGCCTGGGCGCATCGCTAGAGCTCCGTGTCGTCTGCTTGCTTGCAGTTGGAGCACCAATTATAAAATAAATACGCAACTGCAAACTGCAAGATTTTTCACTGTCGTTATCGTAACTTATCATATATTTATGGCTTTTTCCACCCAAGTAAAATTTGGTTGCAGTTGGCCTTTAATAGTATCATTTGAAGCATGATTAACTGAAACAAGCTTTTTCCCAGGGAGTAGTGCATGTTATCGTCAATAGCCTTAGGCCTCTTAAGGGTGTTCATTAACATGGCATTTTGGCCGTGTTGGTACATCATACTGTAGTTCTCCAGGGCACGAAAAAAAACACTGGTAGAGAAACACGTGACAGGTGCTACCCGCCTGTCCTGTCTTTCTCTGCAAGTGTTTTTCATGCGCTAGAAAACTACAGTCTTAACATTTTGCACTTTTCACGTGTTTTTTTTTTTTTCTGTATAAATAAATTTCTTACGGCATCTATAGTTGAGTGTTGGAGGTTGTGGCATCTGAGTCATGATGGAAGAGGCCATATCATGCATAGTTCTCATCCTGCATTGATTGGTCATCATCGGTTTAGGCATAGGGAAACATGACTATTTGCAAAAAGTGTTAACTACGCTGCCAGGCAATCTGTCCAAGGATTTTAACAATTGAAAAGGAGTGTGCAGTCATCTATACACGCTTGCTCCCATATGCAGGACGCTACTTCCGACACCACCTCGGCTGACAAAGGAAGAGCGTCGACAGCTGTTTGCACTGGAGGTGCAGCAGAGGGACCAGGAGGAGGCCCTGAGGCGACAATTCATGGTACCCCCTGCCACTGCAGTGCCGCCAGGCATAGTGATGCCTGCTCCCGCTCCACAGGGTTTTATGGGAGCACCGCCTGGAATGATGCCCATGCAAGGTGAGATGCAAGTGGCAGCCAAAACTTGTGGTGGCTGAATGAATTGCTGCAGTGCACAAATAAGCTTGAGGTCTTATGTTTCCACCTTAGCTGCAACAGCTGCATTTCAATGAAGGTAAATGCAATAGGTGCCTACTCAAGTGCAAATCAATAAACTTCAGGTGATCATAACCTGTCAGTAGTCTCCACAATGCTTAATATCAGATGGGGCTTTTGGCTAGAGCTGTGTTATTAGCAAAAATTTGGGTGCGAAGCGAATTCAAATATTGAAGTGCGAGTGTGAATCCGGTCGAATATTTTTCTAACACTTTGAAGTGAAATTGCCGAAAAAAAAAATGTTGGGGGGATTTCCTAAGGATATTCTTAGAAGATAGCAGCATCGAAGTGTTTTATTAAAATATAGGAACAGCACTACAGACTAAGACTGACGAAGGTAACACACACAGGGATCCCACTCCTGCGCCAACTGCGTCAAAATGTGCCAAACGAGATTTGCTGTGCCAACCTGATAAAATTGACGTAATCGCGCCAGACCGTGTGTCTCGGGGCTCCGCAACCTGTGGCCTGAGGACGGCATGTGGCTTGCAGGGCAGTTTTATGCGGCTCCCGAAACTATGTCAGAAATCTTGCATTCGCTAGACACTGTAATTGCAGCAGTATTTAAATACCGTATTTACTCAATTCTACGGCGCCCTCGATTGTAACGAGCACCCGGTTTCCACAACGAAAAAAAAAAAAATTAAGACATCGATTGCAACGCGCACCCATTTTTCTGGTTGGCCCGCACGATCACACTACTCGGGAAAACGACTCCTTTCGGGAGCGTCTTCCGTTTAAATATGAGGTACGGGGGAAGCTTGTGCCTATCTGACGTGCACTGCCGTCACTCTAGTTTTACCGTGGCCCGATGTCAGCACGCGAACCTGCTTCGCCCCTTTCTTCTCGCCAGTTGTGGTGCCAGGCATGTCGAAGTAAAGAGGTGTCTGATCGGCATTCCCGATTTGCCCAAGCAGGTAGCCGTTGTTGTGCTGCAAGTTTAGGACGAACCTCTGAAAACTGTGAAGCTTTTCTTCCTACTCCTCCGCAACTTTTAGCATATGCCCGTTCGCCTTCCGAGGGAAAAGCCTTTCCTCTTATACAGTTAGTTAGCCAGCACCTGCTCGCTTTAAACTGGCTCGGCATTAGCCCCTTTTCTAAACCTAACTGCATAGCCTGCACTTGGAGCAGTTCTGTCGTCACGGGCCGCTGTGCCGCTCACTGCTCAATCTCATACTCGCCGAGCAGCTCTTCAATTTGCGGAAAACGACCCTGCTGTGGTCCACTGAAGCCTTTACGTGAATCTTTGCTGTCGGAATATTCTGCTTTTGTTTCCGCCAGTCCCGCACGCACATTTCGGGAACTCCGAACGACCGCGATGCGGCCCGATTTCGGTCCGTTTCGGCACACGCGATGACTTTTCTTTTTAAAGCGGCATCGTGGTGCACTCGTCGAGTTTTTGGAGTCGGCCCTTCCATGCCGTCGATGCTAATACACTACCAGATCACGAACTCCTCAGCACACGTACGAATTGCCACACATGGGAAACACATAGGCAGAAATGGCTGATGCGCCATGCCGACGTACGTAGGGGGCGGCCATTTTGGAAATGCCGATGGCAATAAAATAACCGTATTCATTTTTTTTGTACTCGATTCTAACGCGCATCGCATGCGATTTATGAATTTACTTAACCGGAAAAAGGGTGCACGTTAGATTCGAGTAATTACGGTAACATTAAATAATGTTTTAATGACTGGAAACAGCAGTCGAGTCTAGTGGGAGAATTCTTTGCCCTCTTGCGAACAGGCTGTTGCCGCTTTCATAAATTGGCCGCCGGTACTTCTTTGGAGCAATGACATTCAACCTCGTTCTGCGGTGGGACCGCAACGAAAGCCAAGATTAGCGCAACTATAGCAGAAGGCTAGAGATAAGTCGCTGTTTACGACGGTGATTGCAGTGGTGTTCTGCATTGGTTTACTCACATACGCCAACGCCATACATATGTAGTCTAATCGCAAACGAAACCCGTTTGCAAACGAAACCCGGTTGCAGCAAAGAATACCATATTTACTCGCGTAATGAACACACTTTCTTTCTCGAAAAATTGGAGCAAAGTTAGCCATGTGTTTAATATGCTAGGCAGATTTTATGAAAACTTTTTTTGGCATGAGCGAAATATGCTGTAATGCAATAAAATCACAGCACATTCATGAAGTGAGTGATGATGAGTGTGGAGAAGTGCTGGAGGGTTTCATTGCTAAACCGTGAACCATCCACGAATATCGCCCACTATATTATCAAAGACGTGACAAACACTGTATATGTTTATACAAGAAATTTTATTATTCGTAAGTGGTAGCTATACGTCGCTTCCGTTCTCCCTTCGTTATAACGGCTTTATGGTCGGTGAAGTGGTGGATCGATGATGGGGCATAGTGGAATGTTTGCAAAGACGAAGTAGTGGGCAGTTTGCAAAAGGGGAACTATAGGCGGTCACGTAAAAACAAGTAGTGAGCGCAGTGAGACAATCTATGGTTCTTTAACCCGCACCTAAATACAGGTACACGACCATCTTGCATTTCATATCGACTACTTCTCCACAGTATTTGCTTTATGGTCGGTGAAGTGGTGGATCAGTGATGGGGCGTAGTGGGATGTTTGCAAGAACGAAGCAGTGCGCAGTTAGCAAAGGCGGAACTGTAGGCAGGCGGTCACGTACGTACGTACATACATACATACATACATACATACATACATACATACATACACACACACACACACACACACACACACACACACACACACACACACACACACACACACACACACACACACACACACACACAAGGGAGGGGCAGACCCATGACTATAGGAGCTTCGCCCCTAAAAAAAAAGTTGGGTCGCTTAGCTTTTTGCAGACGCGTAGACTGTTTGGAAGCAGGTTCTTTGTTGCATTTTACTCATCTTCGGTGGCTGAATGCGCTATCTTCTGCAAGCTGTACCCGCACCGCCCGCGCTCACCATAAAAGCGTTTTGCCGCAATCATTTTCTCGCAATCGTTCAACCGCAACAGTGGTATCTGCTGTGATCTCAAGGGGCGCCCAGAAGCTTTCGCTACGACGCACTTTGCCAATTTCGCGGCAACTTCGCACGACGCCGCCGTTGTGGTTGCAGCAAGTAATGAACATTGCAGCAAGCTACCCCCGAAACATCAAAATAAACCGCTGTTAATAAGATTAATGGCAAAATATGGCCGCCACTTCACTTCCACATAAGAAGTTTGTTCTTTGTGTTCCTATCGTTCCACTTTGATATACGAGCATGAATTATAGGCTAAGGATGGCTTTTATAGTATTTTTATAATGCCTATAAATGCCTATTTTCAAAATCTGTGCCTAGATATGGAGATTATTTAACCTCAAATTTTGGTTTTGAGTACATCTTAAAGATGTCATTCATGATAGCGAGCAAAACTGACCTTTCGGATTTCTGTGCAGTGGAACCTAGTTCGCTAGTTCAACAAACTTTCGTAAACATCCACCAGCAGCCGTGAAATGGGTCTCGTCGGCCACCTTATGCCTTTGCACTGGCATGGTGCAATTCCTTTTGTAGGTTTAAATATTTCTATCAACTTTCCATTCATCTATTCAAGCAACTGAGTGCACAAAATACACAAGCAGTCTCGAATAACTCTCGCGGTGTCACATACTACTGGGAAATATGCAGGGCTATTCCTTGTACGTTACCTCAGGCCCGTGGCGAGGAATTTTTCCGAGGGGGGGGGGGGGGAGACAGGGAGGCAGGCCTCTAGCCCTCCTCCCCCATGGCTACAGGCCTGAGTTACCCCCTCCATGTTAGGGCACATACCCGTGAGATGAAGGCCAAGCGATGCTCAATCGGACATTCCAAATGATTCCGGAGCGCGGTACTGTAAATTTTGGCAGACGTGACCGTGAGCGCCCAGTGCATGCCTTACATTTGCCAGCTCAAAATTCTCAAACCTGGCGAGGTGCCCTTTAAGGTGCTCACAGAGGAGAAATTGGCCCTGCACGACAAGACCTCGCCAAAATGATGCTAAAAACCCTTCTGGCTTTCTAATGCTGTGGCTGTTTGCTGCTGTGCTGCCCTTCTCGACTATGCTGCAGAGAAAGAGACCCAGGAGTGTGTTTATTCGACGGTGGACCCTTAAACCATGCTTGTAGATACAAGGAGAGACATTGTTCTGCAAACCGTGCGAGAAAAGGAACAATTTTGCATGGCTAAGTCAAGCCATTGGCGCCTTTGTGCCATCATAAATATACATTTTTTTTCATGTCGTAGACGCCAAACGTGCATGTTACTCTTCGAAAGTTTGAACTTTTGTAAAGTTTATTGTGCCTATATTTACAATTATGGGGCCTAAAACTGTTTTGCCTGCCTATTTTGGGCTCTTAAAATGCAATTTTTAGTGCTTGAAATTTGACCTATGATCATTGGCATTCATTTTAGTGATAGCCGTGTCATCTGTATGAAATCTTGCTAAAGGTTTCAAAATGTTCTCTTTATGTCACTGTTATGGCAACAACTGCTTTATGTGCTGTGGAGCACTAGCACTATCATGCTTAGTGCCAAGGGCACCAGAGTTTGTTAGTTTGCTTTGTAGTATCATTGCATTCTATCACCTTTTGGTGACAAGGTTATCACCGTTCTCTTCTTTGCCAAAGATTGTGGAGGTCTTTATCACAGACATGAGGCCACAGCGCTAGTGATAAGATGGTGCTTGCTCTTTTGTATAAGAGCCCCATAAGTTTGCTTTTCATGAACTTGGCAGTTGCATGATTATGAGCTAGTCTCTTTGGCTTTGTTAGTATAGATGCAAAACTAAAATTTGTGTTCATGGCATGTTTTTTGTCATTAATGTTATATTTCAAAATCTGCATTTATTGTCTTTAGCCTGCATTGTGCAGTACCATGTCTTCTGCTAAATCAACCATTTATTAGCGTGCAAAATGGCTCTAGAGCACTATAGTAGACAAATTTTTCGGTACACTTTCTCTAATTTCTTATATGTACTCTTTTTTTTTCGTTCACTTGAGGGCTTCCTGAAGGTGGTATTACGTAAAGGGTGTGCTTACACATTGTGCACATGATGTACACTTGATTAGATAATTCAGAGGTGATGAGCTACATCTTAATATTATGCCATGGAAATACAATGTTATGCCGTGTTTGTGATGTAGGTGCCCTTCTTCTGTTTCTTAGGTGGCTGTCCGAATCTTCAAGTGGCCACTCCTATGGTTCCCGGGCAGCCGCAGCAACAGCCTGTGTATGTTTATGACCCGGCCACAGGTGCTGCCATGTATGGGGCACCTTCATCTCAGCCCGCAGTGACTTACTATGACCCCCAGACAGGGGCACCCATTCCAGCACCCCAACCACCCACTCCTCAAGACTACATTCTGCAGCATAGTGAGTTTTAATTTCCATTTCTGCCACAAAAATTAATGTTCTGGGGAGAAAAGTTCAAATGAATACAATCAAACCTCGTTATAGTGATGTCGAAAGGGGAGTCGTAATAACCATTAGTTCATTATAGCCAATATTCATTTCTACCGACAATTAGCCAGCAAGAGAGAATTTACTCACTACCGAATATCACAGCAACCCCACTGCGCAGAGAAAAACAGCCGTCGGAAGGCAAAAAAACTAGCAGAATAATAAAGAACAATGCTCTTTACTTCCACCAAATTTGGCACACCAGCTGGCAGATCACTTCAAAGAAAAATAGTGTTTAATACACTTTTACGTACTCTTTTTCACGCGGATGACTGCTTTTTCAGCTTCAATAGCCATTTCCAGTCCGTCCTTGTCGTCATCGTAAGCATCAAAGAAGCGGCGCAGCAGGTCTGTCGCATCCAACACTTGCGTAGGCTTTGGTACGTCGGGTTCGCCAACATTAGGCTCCGGGTTCTCGACACATTCGTCACTGTTGTCATGCACTCCCGTCACCGCGGGCACCATTTCCACATCTGACAACTCTCATCGCATCGGCATCTGCACCGACGTACGAGCAGAAAGTGCAGTTGGGCACAATGCCGGTGTCAAGTTGAGCGTTTCACAACATCTGGGCCTGGTCGCTCGTGGCACCCTCACTGGCGACATCATCGAAGTCTTCTACTACTTTTTTTTTTTTTTTCTCGACACTGGACTCAAGGGCTTTCAACATTGCCGACTTCTGCTCGATTGTCGTATTTTTGCGCCGACGTCTTCTGCTGCTGTCGTCCATCTCGTGTCTGGCGGCGGAAACTGATAGAGGTGGTGTTGCTCTTCCGCAGTGAACCACAAGGAACAAAGCCACAATCTACGCTGTCCCAGCGTGGAGCTGAAGGGGCGAAGGAGGTCAGATGCGCGGATGGGTCAACGAGTTCTACAGGAGAGGGCAGGCCGGCTGACGCGCATGCTCGTGGGAGTTGCTGCGCGGGCAAGTCCACTAGTTCCTGAGGAAAGGGGAGGCTGAGGAAAGGGGAGGCAGGGAGACACACCCCCGCGCATTTTGGCAAGCTACTCCCGGCGAGCGCAAAGTGCGAGTTTTGAATAACCGCAGCCGTGATTAGACCTTAACCATTGCGCGCTACAAGATATTAAATTGATATATTCCAAAATGATCAGTAAATCCGCGTAGTGGACAAAGAATAGTTCGTTATATCCATGGCGGGAAAATTTCTACTTCGTTATAAAGAGGTTCTAGTATACGTTTAAAACTGCCTACCACTTGAGCCAAATCTGGTTGTTTTCTACATGTCTAGAGGCATTGGGCCACGTCTTGCAATGCTGTGCTGTTCATGTGCTTGGATTGCAGTGTTTTGTCTTCCATTGAGTCATTTTGGACAATGAGAAAAATTCCCCAGCCCCGCCACGGTGGTATAGTGGCTAAGGTATTCGGTGGCTGACCTTCAGGTTGGGGATCGAATCCCGGCTCCGGCGGCTGCATTTCGGATGGAGGCGGAAATGCTGTGGCCCGTCTGCTCAGATTTGGGTGCACGTTAAAAGAACCCCAGGTGGTCAAAATTTCCGGAGCTCTCCACTACGGCGTCTCTCATAATCATATGGTGGTTTTGGGACGTTAAACCCCACATATCAATCGAGAAATATCTCCCAAATATTTTCATCTTTGATGTGTGCATGTAATGCCTGAATTTTCGCCATGTTATGTTTTGTATAAAATGAGCCTTCAGCACATCTTGCACCCCTGGGAAGCAGTAGTAGTACTACAAGTATTGTGCAAAAGCTCCCAGAATCCTTACATGAGTAACTTATTTACAAAAGAATACTTTCATACCACAGGCACTATGCATTTTTATAGTACAGGTACAGTGGACTCCCAATAAACGAAACTCGTTTAAACCAAAATGACTCATTAGCGGAACTAAACGGGCTCATATGGCTGGATTTCTATGTGTTGCGCAGTAAAATTCATCAGTTAATCGAAACAGTGCTTAGTGGTGACCTACGGTTAAACGCTACAAACTCTAAACACAGCATAGACTTGCTCATGCCAAAGGTAGTCTCACAACTGTGGCAACACCTGGAGATCGAGACAAGCCAATCCAGTAGCCATTGTTGCTTGTGGCTGTGGGAGCCAAGTCTGCAAGTCAATTGTGCGTTAGGCCTATTTGTGTGGTGAAATGCGGTGGATTACGTTGTTATTTCAGCCTGATAGAAAAGAAGCGGCCGCACCATACACTCTCGCTTGAAAAAAACCTGTAAATTCTTCAGGAGCTCAATCGAAGCGGCCTGCCCAAGCTGGAGGTGGCGAAAAAATACATCCTGAAAGCGACGTTGTCGCAGATCTGGAAAGGCTGAGAAAAGATTGCACTGTTAAGAACAAGACTTTTGAAGAGTTCTTTTTCTGTGGTGCAAGCCTGCATGGAGTTCCAATTTGTCCATAAGCGGACCAATTCTCGAGCGAAGGCTCGAGAGAGCGCCATGCAAATGGGTGTTAAAAACTTTGTCCTAAGCGACGCATGGCTCAGCCGCTTCAAAACACGCCATGGCCTAGTCTTCAAAGCAATCTCAGGTGAGAGTGGTGCAGTCAACAGGGACATTTGCACAGACTGGCAATAGGGGCGGTTCAAGGAATTTTCGGTGAGCTTGGAGCCACGAGACGTCTTCACTGTCGACGAGATGGGTCTTTTTCATAAGGCGCTTACATCAAAGACTCACCTTCAAAGACGAAGCCTGTAGTAAGGGAAAACGCAGTAAAGATCGCATCACTGTGCTGGTGGGTGCAAACATGGCAGGAGATGGGAAATTGAAGCTGTTGGTAATAAGAAAAATCAAGGCACCCACGTTGTTTCAAAGGTGTTCCCGTTCGTACCCGTTGCGTACCATAGGAACGGAAAAGCGTGGACGACCATGACCATTCTCGAAAACTGGCTTCGGGAGGAAGATGCAAGGTTGACGAGGCAAGGCAGGAAGGTTGTCTTCATTGTGGATAATTGCCCAGCCCACGGTCAGGTTCAAGGGCTCCAAATCACTCTTGAGTTCTTGCCAGCCAATGCAATGGCAGTGATCTAGCCAGTGGATCAAGGGGTTATTCAGAACAATAAAGTGCATTACTGCAGACAATTGCTCCATCAAATGCTACGTTGAGCAGGCAGCGGGAAATGCTACAGCATAGATTTATTGGCAGCCATCCACATTTTGGCTTGTGTCTGGGAGCAAGTGAAGGCAACAATACACAGATGTTTTCACCATGCTGGCTTTCAAGCACAAGAAAGCAGTACCTGATAAAGAAAGCTCTGCTGATGCCAACATTGAGACAGTATACAGTCAGGTCGTACCTGTCATGAAGAGACTGTCGAGGAAATGATTGCCAAAGTGCAAGATGAAGATCAACTTTTCAGCGATGAATGTAATGATAATACTGCCAGGGCAGTGGTGCCACCAGACCGATCAGCTAAAGGCTGTTGAACTTTTGCAGCACTATTTTGAGCATGAGGCTTGCCCAGAATTTCTTCCTTGTTTGTCAGGCATGGGTGTGTACCTTGTGAAAAAACAACTCAAGCTTGCCATACAAACCACTCTTCACTCCTTTCTTTCTCCTACTCATCCTCTTGAGTAAGGTGAGGTTTGTGCGATTTGAATAAAGGTCTCTGTTCACTAAATAAGTGTATTTTGCTTAAATAAAACTTCTGATAAATGGAGCAGTTTTATGGATCCCCTTCGAGTTCCGTTTAAGAGGAGTCGACTGTATATTCAAACTCTAAAGGTATGAAAGCCTGGGTTTTAACGCAGCCCTGTTAAGAAAATTTATTTTGTTTGATTAGTTCATTTTTTTTATGGTGATGACATTTTTTGTGATGTACGGATAGACAGTTTTCTCATCAAATCAGCGTAAAATTGCTTATGCATTTAAGAACTTCATTTATGATGACATCGAGCTTTATACTGCGGCATTGCTGATTGATTGAGCAGTGTCATCAAGCCCTTGTTTTTTCTCCTTCCTATTTCTAGATCCAATGCTGAGTGGGTCTCAACCCATGGTGGCTCCTGGCATTCACTCGCCAGCAGAGGGAGGCCCTCATGTAATAATGCAGGCACCAGGACCAGTGGTGCCAGGACAGCAGCCAATGATTCCCGGAGGGCAACCCATGATCCCCGGACAGCCAATAATGCCGGGACAGCAACCAATCATGCCGGGACAGCCACCACTTGTACCAGGGCAGCAGCCAATGCTGCACGGTCAACCACCCATGGTGCCTGGACAGCACTTGATGGGACCTGGTCAACAGGCACCGTTGTTGATGACGGTGCCTCCTGAAGAGGCTGTTCCGCAGCACCAATCCGTGGCTCCAAATATTGTGAGTGGGCAGCGCGTTCTGACTTTTTTCTTTTGTGTCGACCTGTAGGTAGCTCACTGTTTTATCAACAGCAGCAGCAACGCCAGTCGATTTAGTTCATGTCTAAGGGTAAGGCATGACATGGAGACAAAGAGTGCAGTGCAAATAGTAAAATTTCGGCTGCAAAGCGAAATAAATTATTAAAGCTTCCAGTGTGGGCTGAATCGAATATTTTTAGAGTAGTTGTTAAATATTTATTTAATACTTTTCTAATACAGTTAAACCTTTATATAACCAATTCTTTGATATTACAATGTTGGTTTTATTCTTTTCTGTTACTTCATAGAAGCACCTGTATTTGCACCGTGTATGTAACAAAGTGGTGGCGGACGACACCCTTGATGTAACAAATTTTTCTTGCCAGCAACATGAGAACTTTGCCCTGAATTTCGTCATTTTGGTATGAGCATGCATCTTCCGCGGTTGCCTTGCCACCGACGAAAGGCGAAGTGGCAACGGCGTGCTCGTGGCCTTGGGGACTCCCATTCGAGAGCGAGTGCTCATTACTGCACACTCGTGTACGCGAGGGGGGGAGGCGGGCCTACGCTCCTTCGGCCAGTGCTGCCGCATTCTGGTCATAGAGGGTGCATATGCGGATGTGCCCTCTCCTTCTTCCAAATAAAAAGAAAACTACTTTTGCGTAGGCAGCGCCACTTTTCGAAGTACAGAAGTCTCTGAACTGCACTTTAAGTTGCACAGGATGCCACTTTGCGTTGTTACGCCTTTAGGTTGCGTTACACATGCGGGGCCGCGATGTATATGGAGAGCACTTTGCCTGATAGTTTTCTCTCAAACGACGGTCACATCTTTATTTATTTTTAAATATTTTATGTGAACAATTGTGTCCTAACTACCGAAGAGACGTCAGATTAGGCACTGACGAAAACTCTCCTGTGTCCTAACTCCCGAGGAGACGTCAGATTAGGCACTGGCGGAAACTCTTCGAGAACACGGTCACAACGATGGATCTTCAGAGGTTGACTCGTCACGCACTTTGCTGTCTTGTACCGTGGCGTGAGTTCGCAAGACCGCAGCATTCGCGGTTAGCCGATTAGCTCTTGCAGCATGTTGGCGTTTTGAATGCAATGAATGCAACAGCAACAAATCGTAATGTGATACAAAGTAAAGCTGACAGTCAGCCAACTCTTTTGGATTCGGTATCGCGGAACTCCTACAAAACGCTGGCGTAAGCAAATACTGCTGCTTTAGGCAGAACTGCTTTTTGTACACAGTCTCTTAGCGTTGAAAGCAGACTGATGCTTGCCGAGATAGCACGCATGCCAGCAATCACCACCGCACCCTTAAAATCAGTTCACTGTTGCTACTCACTTGAGGTATTTTTGCAGCTGTGATGGAAGAGCTTCCCATTTTAGACCTTCAAGTTCTTATCAGATGATTCAAAAGGAAACTTATGCAACTAGCTTGGCATGGCATCAACAATTAAGGAGAAGCTGGTTCACATGACCCATTGGCCCGTTTATCAAAATCTTCCCACCATGCACAAAAACTTCTGTTATGGCACTTCCACTGCTAGTAAATGTAAGGAGTTTCTCTGTATGAAGAAGGCTCATGTCTCAGCTAAGCTTGCGCAAGGTTTCAGTTAAGCGTGCACAGCACTTAGCGTGAAGTGGGATGTCTTTGTAGTCGTGAACAACCGCAGTCGGAAGGTCGGGTGGCTCCGATTAATTCTACAACTTCTCTTGCAGCTCCCTGTCATCATCCTTTCAACGTCATTTCTTAGGAATCGCAAGCAGCAGGCATACATAATCTCTCTAAGGGGTGTCTTTTTTGCACCACAGATTTTGAGAATACGAAAGGCACATTTGGGAAGATCCTCGAGTTGGCATGCTGCAAAAGTACAGGCCAAACGCACTACTTTGCCATTAATAATGTGCTTGTAGTGGCAGAATAACTACAGTAGAGTCTCAGTAAACGGAACTTGGTAGGGACCGGGAAAATATGTTCCATTTAACAGGAGTTCCATTTTCTGAGAGGTGAACATTGGTGCAGAATACAAGCCCGAAACCAAGCATTGCAAAGGCAATAGTTCCGGTTTAGCAGTAGTTTCGTTTAACAGATTTCCGTTTACTGAAGAGTCTACTGTACTGATCGAAGTGGGGCTCACAGACGGCAGCGTTATTTTACGTAGGCTTGTCTGCTCTTGGTATGTTACGCTGCCACTGCTGAACAAATGGTCGTCTTTTGGGACTCCAGAGCATTGAAGTTTCTACTTGAGTGAGTGATCGGGCACAAAACAGTGGCTGTGATGCCTGCTCATGGCACCTACTCCATAAAAGACATCACACAAACACGACAAGTCTGTCTGACCTGCAAATGCAGCACAAAATGACAGTGTAAAAGGCAAAAGAATCACCTTCGACTGAGTCGACTGAGGAGCAGCAGCATAGAACGTGCTCAGCCTGAGAGACTGATGTGTATACGACAGCGCGTGCCACCTATCGGAAGCCCTGCCACTGTGGTCTGGTGGCTGAGGCACCCAGCTGCTGACCCGCAGGTCGCGGGATAAAATCATGGCTGCTGCGGCTTCATTTTCGATGGAGGCGAAAATGTTGTGGGCCCGTGTGCCCAAATTTGGGTGCACGTTTAAGAACCCCAGGTGGTCAAAATTTCCGTAGTCCTCTACTACGGCATCTCGCGTAATCATATGGTGGTTTTGGGACGTTAACCCCACATATCAATCAAATCGACATGTCATGTGAATGAAACCACTGCAAGAGCAGCAAGACCATGAAATGTAAATTACGACATCCATGACGTACATGTCACGATTTTTATGTTATGACTAGTCACTTGTGCTCGTCATACAGTTTTGTTAGGCCATACCAATTTTGGTATCGATACCATTATCAAAATGGCCAGAAGAGCTAAAGTTCGTTCAATCAATCAATCAATCAATCGGTCAAGCCACATATCAGAAACATCAGAAGGCGGTGTCACTACCTCTCATAGCAGCCAGTTGGTGGTGATCACACTTTCAGTATTCTAGTCACTGTACCAATACTGTGCGACTTCCTCTTGTGTTTTGTTCTGTCAACACTTCCGTTTTGTGACAGAATCCTTATCAAATAGCCCCCCTCCGACCTTTGATCGAGGTCACGCCATTCATACTGCGGCATCTCATTGTGACCTGGATACAAAAGCACGACAGTTGTGTCCTGTAGGAACTTAAGCGTTGCTGTGGTAAGCACGGGAATGCAGGTCCAATTCCTGGCGTAGACGAACAAAAAAGTTGGGATAGAGCATTGTACAATGCTTTATAAAAAAAAGAAAGAAGGAGCGATAAAAGGGACTAGATTAGTCATGCCCACAGCATCTGTCCTGCCTTCTCCATCTGTCTGGTAGAAGAAAGGCTAATCAATTTTTTGTCTCTTTCGTTAAGCAGGACTACCAGGCACTGGCTGTGGCAATCAGCAGCGTGACTAACAAGCCACCTAGTCCAGTGCCGATTCAGTCCGAGTCCGCCTACGTGACGGACCCCATGCAGATTCCACTGCCTCCACCGCTGTCCCCAGACAGCGGGGAGGCCACACCTCAAAATTTTGACCCGGTGTCATCTCCCACCTTGGACAGCACAGACAGCAGATGTTCAGAGCTGCCTCCTCAGCAGGAGACACGAGGGGAGCCCGTAGGCACCACTGTGGAAATTGCAGTGCCAACCGTCGACTACGACGAGGACACTCCCTGCGGCACACCTGTGCTACCGTCTCCCAGTCAGGCAGCCGTGGCCTTTCCTTCTCCCATTCAGGTACTACACTACAAACCCACGAGCTTTTATGCTTTGCCTGGGCTGCTTGCTCTTCTGTGGTGGGGTGGTGGTAGTAGCAGGCAAAATTAATTGTATTTTGTGTCACTAAAGCATCGTCGTACATTTGAGTCATATGCTTTGCTGTATGTTGCCTCTTGCTGTTCTGATATGCAACGCCAGCATGATTGGTGTGTAAACTTAGTCACCGTACACACAGTAGACTACCTTAAGACAAATTATAAGGAACCACGGTCATTTGTTTGTCTATGAAGTTCTTCTTATCTGAAACGCTCCCAAAAGCCAAACGCTAACATGCCAAGTACGCCTGAATATGTTGCTTGAAAACACTGAATGAAGCATACTTATATTGTGAGAAAGGAAGAAGAAAAGACATTTATTTGGCTCAGCTTGATAAAAAATATGCATCGAGGTAGAGTATTTAGACCACTCTAAAGAGTACTTCTTTTTGCAAATTTATAATAAATATATGCTAATGAATGAATTGCTACCACATTTTGACAATAAAACTTTAGCACGACGCTATTTTGATGATTTGAAAAAGATAAAAAGGTAGAGACAAGCACAATTTTTTTTTTTAAAGAATGGAAAATTTACTTTTCTGACAGTTCACCTTCTGAGAAACTGTTTTACCTGGCTTTGCTATCACTCTTGGATATGCCTTCATTGCATACTGCTACCTTGACAAAGCCAATATACGCCCAGTTGCGTATGGAAGTCTACAAGCTTTTCTTTGAGGTTCGGATATTTCCTTATTTTCAACACGCAATAACTTTTCCTGAACGACATGCAGCTGAAGATTTCAGTGTGTGATACTCTTGATCACCAGCCTCAGGCATACAAAAAAAAGACACGACACAGCTATATTTAGTGTGCAAAATGACCTTCCTTTGTCGAAAATGGCACATCACAATTTGCTGCATTTCACTGCAAACAGATACGACGCGCTCGGGCCCTATGCAAAACAACACAAACTGACCACATGTGCTCAGGTGCCATTGTGTGACGCCGATGACAATGTGTCTGACTCCTCTGGTAGGAGTGCTAGTGCCACATATGGGGTTTTCATTTGATGTGATAATAATGTACAGATAATCTTCGTTGCCGTTTTCACTTTCATTTGGCTTTTTTTTTTTGCTCCTTTTCCTTGCATTTTATCCTCTAGCCAAGCTCTTGTGTTCTTATGTTCTTTACTGTACTCCTGTTGGGGAACTGAAAAGCATGAGGGGAATACGAAAGGACAATCACCCGTTTGTTTTCTTTGCTGATAAAGCTACAGGCTGGTGGTGAGGGAGACACCAGCATTATGCACCTACCTTTCTTTTTCACTTATCTCACTTTGTGTACATTTTAACAATTGTACTGTGTTGTATAGAGGTGCGAAATGCTGTGACCGCAGTTTATTTTGGAGTATGGTTGGGAATATTTCATTGGCTATTTCGTTATACTAAAATAAAGTTATGGTGGTGTATGGCACAAGGCATGGTAATGTGCGTTAGTTCTCAATTAGCACTTATTATGTTGTTGCATGCATCAAGTTCGGAAAGGAATTTGTCTCTCTCTGCGGCACTGCACTGGTTTCCCTTTTTTTTTTTTAGAGTACAGCAAGCTTGAAGGTAGCATTGTCGCTCCGCCTTATTGTCTCGTCTTGTGGCTTATGTACACATGAGAGGTTTGTGGCAATTGATCCGGGGTGTACCTCATTGCAGCAGGCTCCAGTTGCTGCACCTTTCACTGTGGTGACTCCAGGGGCGGCAACAACGGAAGGTGCACCGGCCATGGCTCCAGGCGCCGTGTATCCAGCCAATCCGCAACCAATGGCCCCTGGATATGGCCCCGGCTACGGCTCTGTGGGTTCTGGTGTGGCTGCTGGTACTGCACAGGGCATGCATCCACAAGTTTACTACTTGCCCCCGGTTGCACAAGCCTTGCCCTCTGAGCAGCCTCTGGTATGTTACAAATACACGCACAATGCTCGTTAGGTATTATAGGTGCAGCAGTAATTAGGTTTTTTGGGAGGGGGGTTAAGCTTTGGCTGCCATGGGCACATTCATGTGGTTGCAAAATGTGCTAGAAAAGCTAATCTGAAGGCCCTCACAACATTATACCTTGTCAGGTTGTGATTTTGAAACATCAAACCCCAAATAAATCTCATTTATTCGAACTCGCTTAATTCCAACTACTGGTTAATTCCGAACTCGCGATGAGGTCCCGTCAAAGCTATGTGTATTCCAATAAGCGAAAACTCCCGGTAATTCGAATGCCCAAGCACTTCCGACAATTAATTCGAACATACCGTGCTCCGAAAATGCGCTCAGCACCCCGCCCAATCCCGCAGCGGCACCTGCGACACCTCAATGCTGCCCGCGAAGAAAAGAAAAGGCTGCGGTGGAATGTTTGCTCTCTCTCAAACGGCGATCTGCAACGCACCCGTGTCGCACTTCTCGCTTTTCCGTCCCTGCCACGTAAAGACCCTTCTTCATCCAAAGCCGCGCGTGAAGAGAGAGAGAAAAAAAAAAGAAAGTTGTCGCTGCGTTAAATGAATGTGTGGTTGAAGGAAAGGAAAAAGGCGCTATCTTCTGCAGCCATTGCCCCTTGCAAGAGCACGGCTCTGCGCCTTGGGGGGGGGGGGGGGGGGGGGGGGGGGGTCTCTCACGTGCCGGTGCCAAGCTTCACCCTTTCCCGTCTCTGCCACGTAACCATTTTCCTTTCAACGACGCGTGCGAAGAGAGAGAGAAAAGAAAAAGCTGCCGTGGACTGTTGGTTTTTTCTCAAATGCCGATCTGCTTCTCTTCGCGTGGAGAAGCTCCTCCTTTCTCGTCATGTGTTCGCCGTGCTGGGGCTGCGTAGCGGAAAGCAGGAGGCTCCGCTACGCAGTCATTGTCGTCGTTTTTAAAAAGTGTCGGCGCTAGACATTTCCGCGCGCAACTTCTCTTGCCAGGAGAATGCTGAAGCCGAAATAGAAATGCTTTGCAAGCTGCGTGTGAAATCGATTGACTCGCTGCAAGACAAGCGTGTGCAGACACGCATCACCGATTACTTCAATTAATAACGAATGTCCTGTGATTTGTGAGTAAATGTAAGTCTTCTGAAACTTCCCCCTCGTATGTTAGCTCAATGCACATGCGCCACTCCATGGAGAGCCCTCCGTTTATTTAGCTTTCATTAATTCGAACTTCTTTTAATTCGAATATATTTTCGGGCCCCTTCGTGTTCGAATTATCGTGATTCGACTGTATTTTTATCATCAATACCAAGCACAGCGGAGAACATAACAGCTTACACACACGTGCACACAGTGCAGTAGGCAAGGGAATTCAGAACTGTCAAGTTGCTGGAAAAAAATAGTAAATAAGTTTGAGAACTTTATTTCTTGTGTTTGGCAACAGGAGCAGCCAATAGAGCTCGACAGAGAAGCATCATCTGGCCGTATCTGCAGTCCACCACCTCAGATCCACGCCCCAAGCAAGAAGGATGGCCGACTGCCTCCCCACTGGAAGACTGCCAAGGATGAAGAGGGAAACGTTTACTACTACCACGCACTCACCAGGTGAGCTGTTGCAGCACTAGCTGTTTTCAAAGCATTTTGGAAATTTATGCACGTAAAGGCTCATTCCATTGATATGATCTTCATTGGAACCAAAAAAGGAACTGTCTTAATATACTGTCTAGACCTTCCCAAAAATAGTACTTCTTCATGTAGTACTTCTTCCCAAAATAGTACTTCTTCATTCTTCAAGACTTCTTCATGTAGGTGTACTCTGTCACAAATAGGGAAAGGAAAGTTGGTGTGGCTGAAAGCCTCCTCACGAGCAAGCTTTGGAAATTAAATCTCTCATTTCTAATGATACCGGCTTTGATGGGCTGGTAGCATGTTGAGGTGTCTGATAGGTGTCCTGAAGCAAGCCCATATGCTTTTTTTTTTTGGGGGGGGGGGGGGGGTGGCATTTGTTTTAGACCTTGGATACTGTACAGTTAAACCTGATTATAACGAATTCCTCGATATAACGAAGTTATTATATTCTCCACCATTGCTTCACAGAACCACATGTATTTGCGACCTCTATGTAACAAGGTAACAACGGTAGACAACCTTGATATAATGAATTTTTCTCAGAGGCAATCTAGGAATTTCGCTCCGCATTTTGGCATTTTGGTACGAGCATGTATCTTCCGCGGCTGCCCCGTCGTTATTGCGCACGGGTGGGTGAGCGCGACGTGGGCAGGCCGACCTGCACCCCACAAGCCGGCGTTGCCGCCATGGGCACATGTACAGGTGTGCCCCCTCACCCCTTCACTGCAAACAAACAAAAAAAAAACTACTGTTTTGGCAATTCCACGCTTTTAGTTTGCTCGTCACGACGTGCGCTCATCTTCCACGCATACTTTGCCCCGCGAATGAAATGAGTGGGGGGGGGGGGGGGGGTAGTTAGATGCTTGTGCGCATGCGCTTACCCTTCGGCGGGGAGAATTGCGCGCCTTCGGCTTTAGCCGGAACGATTGCGTTTAGTTTCCAAGCTCACAAAGATCACTTTGCTCACTGGGTAGGCGCCATTAGGGAAAAGAGTGCACTTTCCAAGCACAGCGAAGTAACGATTGGGGCCCTCATTTTTTGTTTAAACAGCATGTTAAGTGTTGAGCGGTAAACGTTGTTAGTTTGCTCTCATCCTGTGTATGTTGTTTTCATGCGTCATTTGTGCGTGAGCAGCACGCTGCACGTTTCAATCTGCTTGCCTTTCTCAGCGTTACATTCCAAGTTGTTACTATCGCATTCATTGCTTCGCCCTTGCGGTGGAATGGGCTTTTTTTAATTTCGAACAACTGTGTGGTCAGCACCAAAGGGATGTCGTATTAGGCGCTGATGGAAACTCGGAAACCACGGTGACGTCGGATCTTCGGAGGTCGACTCGCACACTTCCGTCATGCGGCGCGCCGTGAGTTCGCAGGCTGGTAGCTTTTGCAATTAGCCGATTATTTCTGGCAATACGACAGTGCAATGAATGCAATGCAATGAACGTGATAGCAACAAATTGCAATGTTATAAAAAGTAAGGCTGGCAGCCAACTCTTTTAGATCTGATATCGCGGAATTCCTACAAAACACTGATGTGAGCAAATACAGCTGCTACAGGGAGAAGTGCTCTTTTTACAGTCCCTTCGCGGTTAAAATGCAGTGATGTTTGCCGTGATGGCAAGCGCGCCAGCGATCACGACGGCCCATGTTCATTATTGCTACTCGAGCGATACCCCCTCCCCATGTTGTTTCATGCTCGCTCGAGACAGGTGGTTTATTTTCTGTTTAAGGATCTGACGGCAGTTCTAACACGTGGGAAATGTTATGTTATGCACTTTCCAAATGATAGCGATGGGCCGACTCATTTTATCTCTGCTTCAGCACCGCTCGTGCGCTTTTATCCACTCGTGAAAGTTACGATGCGCGGGGGCATGTTATCAATTTGGACTTGTTACAAAACATGGCGGCGACGGCAAACACCTGCCGAGAGTGTCTATATAATTGCTATCGAAATGATAATGCAGTGTTTTACTGTAAACTAAGTGTTTTCGGTTGGCTCTGTCTTCAGTCCGCCTTTTGTTTAGTTTGCCCGTTTATTTCTGTATTTTCGTACTGAACCTGCATATGACGAAATCCTCTTTATAAGTAATTTTTTTGGGAATTGATCAATTTCGTTCTATCAAAGTTTAACTGTATTTACTTGCATAATAGGTGCACTTTGTTTCTAGGAAATCCGGCTCCAAGTTCAGGGTGCGCCTATTATGCAGGGTCAACTTTCCAAAAATTTCACCTTTTGGCTACAGTACATTCAAACCTCTTTAATATGTACCCGCTTAATCTGTAACTGCGGTTTATACGTAGTCTGGAAGAATCCCTCGCTCAGTCCCCATTGAATCCCATGTATTGGCTGACCGCTTAAGCCGTAGTCGCTTGTGGCATTATATATACCGGTAGTTAGTACGTACTGTTTTCAATCTCGTTATCCATGCACAGGTAAAAAATCGGCAAAATTTCTTGCGCGCATACGTTCGACACACTAGCTGTGACGATCAGACTACAACAGCCAGCGATAGTGACGTAAAAACTTGGCCACGTTGGTGTTATTTCTGCATGTACGGCTGTTGCCAATCGCTCTGTACAAAAGCATGGCCTTCAAGATCGGTTCTTGGTAAACCAGGAACTCTCGGTCACTGTTCCGGTCAGGGGTGCGAATTTGCTGTCGCTTTCCAAGCCAAGTAGTATTGTAACGGCTCAACAGCACTGAGCCTGGCTGAGCATGTTTTTTTATTCGGTCTTTCCTCACTTTTCTACAGTGTTGATCGTGGCGGCAGGTGTGGTGGTGTTATGTTACCTACGTTCTTTGCGTGCGGTGTGTCATGTTTCGTTTTGATTCTTGTTGTGTTGTGCACGAGGGGCGCGATTGATTTTGCACACGAAGACTGCATATTATGCCGAAGTACCATATCTTGAGTGTGAAATAAAAACTTGAAATCATTCACGCCATTTAAAATGGGGCCAAGAAATCTGCGGTAGCCCACGAAAAGAACTTGCCTCTTATGACTGTGTGCGGAATATAGAGTGCTCACATAAAGTTGACGGGCGGCACAAGCAGCAATTTGAAGAGATTTCGCATCACAGAGACTGCTTATCCTTAAGTGGAAAGGGCCCTGCTTATTTGAAAGGCCTGCTGGTTAGTGGACCCCTTTTGACTGAAAAAAGCAAAAACTTTTGCAGATCAGCTGGACTGCCCCGGTGAGGCTGCTGCGACCGACAAAGAAGGCGTTCGAATGGCAGGACACCGATTTGCACGTCCTTATAGCCTGCAATGCCGTCGACATTTTCAATTTTGATGAGTCGGCACTTTCCTATTGCCTGCTTCCGAATAGGACATTGGCATTCCAAAACAAGAAGCGCACCAGCGGGAAACATGCCGAAAATCGAATATTGGTTGCTTTTGGCGTAAATATGATCGGTAGTGAGAAGCTGCCACTGATGGTGATTGGCATGTATGAAAACCCGCAGTGCTTCAAAGGCGCTCAGCTGCCATTCGACTTTGTTTACAAACACAACTAAAAAACCTGGATGACAGTTCAGCTGTTAGAGGAGTACGTGCACCCGCTGGATTGTCGTTTTTATGACAAGAAAAGGAGCATACTGATAGTACCATATTTACTCGCATAACGAACACACTTTTTTTTTCTTGAAAAACCGCAGCAAAGTTAAGAATGCACTTATCATGCGGGATAAATTTTATGAAAACTTTTCGGGATGAGCAAAAATTGTGGTAATGCAAAGAAATAAAAGTTGCAGCTCTGCCACAAAGGCAAAGCAATGAGCGCGATAACAACAAATTGGAAGGTCATGCGCAGAATGGAAAGCAGATCCAAACGTGCCGCGCGTTTCTCACGCACAAATGACGTACGAAACGTACTCACAGGTATAGATGCACGTGAATAAGTGTTTCAGTTGTTACTTCGCTGTGTCTGAAAAGCGCCTGCTTTTCGCAAACGGAGACTACATTGATTGCAGTGGCCTTAGTGTGCCCGGTAACTAAAACAGAATTGTTCCAGGCCAGCCAAGACGTATGATCCTCCCCCCCTCCTTACCACGAGATAAGGGCGCACGAGGGAGCATTGCTCCCCTCCTCTAAGTGGGGCAAAGTATGCGTGGGAGATCGGAGCACGTGCCGCAGCGTGATGTGGTGACGCGTGCTCATTGCGCCATCTTGCTGGTAATGCTAAAAATACGATAATTCTCCTGAAGAAGCTTGTGAGCTGTGGTAAGCGGTAGATATAAATAGCCTGCCGTTTGAACGTGGAAGGACGTTCTCCTCGGTGTCTTAGTGGTTAGCGCCTCATACTCACGATTGAGAGGACCCAAGTTTGATTCCGCCAGGTCGTGGGATCAAATCCCGCGAGCTGTCTTATGCCTAAAGCTTATGCGAGTAAATATTGTAATTTAGAAAAACAGCTATTTTTATTACTAATATTCGGTAAAACACCCCCTTTCAAAATTTGCGTGCCCCTAGGGCACCTCCCTTGGTTATGGTCCTGTCTTGAAAGAAAGGTTTATCCAAGTTCATTTTGGCCCTTGTCAAAATTTTGCTGTATCAAAACTATCACACAAAATTTTAATGTCTATATGAAAAAGTGTGTGATACTGTAACGTTTGCTATATTAGGGTCCAACTGTATTTAGCATTGGATGAATGTGCTATGAATGCTGACTGTGGTGGTAGCTTCGTGATAGGGTGTGATATGTGTGTTAAAGTACATTTCTTTGCAGAGAAACGCAATGGGACCCTCCTGTTTGGGATGAAAATGAGGAGGACATGGAGCTAGAAACCCCAACCTATGATGAACCAAAGGTTTGTCAATCATGCGTCTTAGCTTCAAAGAGGAATAATTAAATTTGATATCCAAGACTTTACTGTGGCTAGCAGTACACGCCTGCTTAGTAGTTCACTTTTAGCAGGAGTCCCCATCTGTCGCTTCTGTTTGGAAATATGGATCATGATCATAAAAACAAACCCAAGCATTCGAATTGATTTCATGTGTGCGGCATCACTAGCCATTCTGCAGGCTTGCTCTTCTCAAATCGAACCGCCAGAAGGCTCCTTGTAATCACTCAACATGGGTGGTGGTGGGGTATACCTCTGGCATAACGGGGACCATCTGGCCAGTGTTCTTGGGTTGCATCCTGTCCAGCAGTGTAAAAAAGAAAAATTCCAGTAAACGGCAACACTATCTTAGAACCCGAGGCATTTTACTTTCTTTTAGAACAGTTGTGTCGCGTTTGTTTTAAATTGTGTATGACTGTGCATTTTACTCAATAGAGCTTTATTGTCCATCAATTTGTTCCACAGTGAACTGTATTTATTTCTATCAATTCTGAATTACTAGGTTTGATAAGCCTGCAAGATGAATTTTCATTGATTTCAATTTTTTTGCACGTGGATTTTAGTTGGCCACAAATGTTTTGGTCATACGTGGTTAGCATTGCTAGTCGGGTGTTAAGTAACAGTTCTGAAAACTGGTGACAAAATATTACGGCCTGCAACTGGTGTTAGGACATGCCTCCAGCCATGTCCCAACACCAAGTCCTTGAATAGTACTACCTGTTTCTTTCACTACTGTTGCTCGATGCTGTGTTTTGAGGTATTGTTCTAGTAGCTTCCTGGCTGTGAATTGGCATCATTAAAACAGTGCATGCGTTTTTATCACATGTGTATTAACTAAATTTCGTGTGTCTGCACGCGTGGCATCGAGACTTAGTTAATTTTTGTTGCGTCTGTCAGTTCTTTTTCCTTTGCCTTTTGTTTTGCTGATTGCTTATGCCTTTTCCTTCCTGCATGTGTATTGCCCCTCAGGTGAACAGCACAGTAGGCAGCTCAAGGGCGAAGAGATCGGTTAGTACCTAGCGCACGCGCTACTTTAGTACAAGCTCTTTTTTACGCACTTTGCATGCTCCTTATTTTTGGTTATTGTTCAAGCTTGGGTTAAATCTGAGTACATTGCTGGCACTTGTCAAGCTGCCTTGTGTCTTGGGTGTCAAGAACTGCTGTGTGTTTAGCTTTAGATATGTATAAAACTCTTCTGATAGGAGTCAGAAGTAAGTAAGGACCCCTTGAAGTGGCTGTTGTAGCTGGTGTGTATTGGGAAACTAAAGCACTGTGTGTGAACTACGAGAGTTTTGAGCTCCCTTCTAACAGGCTTAGCTTTTATTGTGAACCGAAAAACAGGCCAGCTGCATTCTTTTATTAGTTGGTGGCACACCAATGGCAATTTATTGGCAACGGTGGCTCAGTAATGATGATGGCAGCACAGCAACAATGACAGCATGACAACGATGGTGGTACAGTATAACCTCGTTACAACAGACCTCCATAGTGAAGATGATTTTGGTCTGTTGTAAAAGAAGTATGTAAAATCCAACTACTGTTACAACAGGCTTTATGTAAACATTGAATGGATCTCTTGTAGCCAGAGAGAATCACCAGTGGTAAACATTTATTCTCAATGGGAGCATAAAAAGTTTACTTTTTCAATATCATGTTTTTAGTGTTTGTGGCCCTTTTTCTATCCGATTCCAAAGTATGTACTGCAGAAGTATTAAAAGCGTTTTTCAAAGAATTATAGCTCCGCTACGAGGAACTACTTCATGTACGCGTCTGCGTGCCGAGATGCGCACGTTTGAAGGCTCCCTATCCGCTACGGCTCTGTAGCGACACTACTGGGTGCCACCATTTCAGGCTCAACTTAGAAGTATTTCGTGAAGAGCAATTAGCTCCACTTTTCAGATACAAGCTCACAAAAGGCAGATGTATGAAATTCATTTTGAGGTCTCCCATTGGCTTCTTCTGCTGTGTTGCTCAAGCACGCCTTGCCATTGGTCCTATGTTCCCTCCGGGAAAGCGTCGTTTGCTGCTTGTGGGTCGCGACGTCATGGCTGTCGAAAATTGTGCTACTTAGTGATGTTGTTGCACTCATTCTGTGTTCGCAGGTCGATGATAATTTAGAATACAATTACGCTTTATTTGAAGCAGCTGCAAGCAGAATTGCAGTAATCAGATTACAGTGGCGAACGTTGATCTCCTATTGGAGGTACTGCTATCAGCACTTCGGACCTTGTGGCCAAAGGCACTGCGAGACAACTTTTTGTATTCGCGATCGAGCACCATGTACTTTGAAACATCAGGCACCGCGGCCATGCACATCGCAACCGAGCTTTCTGCTTCAAAGTTGTGGCTAGGCCTAGGCCTAACTCCACGCTAAACCTTACGGGCAAGGCTATCACTCTAGCGGACATGCAAAGGCGATGATGCCGTACGGTGCTTCATCGCAAGCAACGAATCGCGTCGTCAGAACCGTGGATTGGCATTTTGCGCATCGGCAGTGGACCCACCGGCAAAGCTCGCCGCACAGCGGTCCGTTGGAGCTGTGATGCCAGCGGCTAACTATGTCGCGTGCCAGTGCTCCTGAACGCAAGGAGAAGCATGCTGTGCGCAGATATTCTGTCGCTGTAAGGCATTGCTGATGATCAGACCGGAGATCGGCGGCCTTCCGTACTTCAATATCCGCGACACGGTTTTCCAGTCCTGAAAGTATGCCAAGCGCACGGTGTTTGAAGCCGGAAGTTATTGAGTTTGAGATATTCGTGGTAGAAAAGTCCTGACCACCTTGCAGGGGTCACATTTTAGTCAATTATATTCAAGTGTCCGTGTACCAGAATCTGTAGTAAACAAACTTTAACCAATGGAACAAATAGGAAGTTCGGCATAATGCCTCCAATGGGTATGCATTATTGGAATGTTTGTTGTAAGCAATTCGTTGTAACGAGGTTATACTATATTGGGACAGTCCTGATAGCGGCATAGCGAATCACCCATATCTAAGACTACAATCGCTTAGTCATCTGGGACCGGTAACAGACGTAGATAGTCATTGGCTTGGAAAAATAATGGGACTCCATGACTCTGGCTACTTCCTCTCAAATTTCAGCCTTTTTATGTGCCAGTATGTTGATTTCTGACAGCACGTTGGCATCACTGCACGGGGACATGTGCATATCCAGGTGGTCTTTTGGTTATAGTGCTTGATTGTGGACTCAATAGTCGCGGGATCGCATCCCCAGCGGTTGCAGCCACATTTCGATATAGGCAAAATGCCCCTGTGCTTATTCAGGTGCATGTTAAAAAAAAACCTAGGCAGTCCGAATTTTCAGAGCCTCGCACGGCGGCGTCTTATTGTCGAATCGTGTTTGAGGTTGTAAAAGCGAAACAGCTACATTATGCCACATGTGCAGCAGCACACTAGTGTATGGTTGTTGCCCATTGCTTATTCTAAGGGGTTATAATATTGTAGGTGCCTATGTTTAATTTTATTCATGTGATAAATTGTTATCACCAATCATGCTGCACTTTCATTACTGCCATCATCATCTATTTGGTAACACTATTGCTTCCAGTGCCAGTTTGAATCATCCTGTAGGCTACTGAGTGGTCTTACTTGACAGAAGTATTGTTAACATATATTGCAAGATAAAGGGGGAAAAGAAAGAAATAACTATGGTGTGTCACGATAACACAATAATTAAGCCAGCCGTAATGCCAGGACTTAAGATAACATGTAACAAATGTTTGCTTGTAGTATTTTTATGGGAGTTGGTTCTCAAGTAAGTCTAGCCGCAGTAGGATTCTCTGTTAGTACAGTTGACTCCCGCCCGTTAATATAAAGCTCACGGGAACCGCAATAAACTTTGAATTAAACGAACTTCCAATTAAAAATTGCACAAAAAATTGCACTTTTATTGCTTCAAACATGACAGTTCTCTAAGAAAATAGTCTTTCATTTTTTCTTGCCGAACCTGGCTGCTATTAGCAAGTTTTCCAAGCGCTTCACATGTCGAAGTGCTTCTTCAGCATTGTCCTCTTCAACAAAACATAAAAATCGCAGTGCAAGAGGAAGACCCGCAGCAACATCTGTAGTCTTTGGTGGCGGTTTGTTTGTATGTCGTCGTCCACTCGCCGAACCATGTGCACAATTTTTCTGTTCGTTAGTGGACCGCATGTATCGATGTTGCTGTCACTGCGACGAATTTTTTAAAATGGACGTCAACAATAATGGCCCCAAAACGATTGTCCTGGAGGTCACCTGTTTGCACTTGAAGTTCGAGAACGTGTTAGGTAACGCTGTACTTTCATGCAATGTCTTGCTTGGCGGTGCCACCCTAGTCAACTTCTTTCAAGGCTTACAACTTGCGTCGCCAGGTCAAGTGTTCAGTTGGGGCTGCGAGTCACCATTATCAAACGTCGCCACCATAACACTCAAAATCGGCTGTCAAAGCACGTGCGAAATCAACCCACAGTGCGCTGATAGGCTAGTTGATTTATCAGGCTATGTTTGAACAGCACAACTGGCAGGGATGGAGCATGACACGCAAACATACACACAGCGCTGTGTGTGTGTTTGAGCATTCTGCTCCGCCAGCGTCCGGTCGCGCTGTTCTAACTTCAACCAGACTACAACCCAGCGTGCGGCTGAATGACTCAACACATCACAACGCCAGACCTAATTAGCTGATGCAATCGCTGCAATGCCCTGGCGTTTACTAATTAATATGGCCACTTCGTGAACCGTGGTGCTGCGGGCAGTGGGGATGGTGACAACAGCGTGATCGGACAGCTGTCTTGGCGGTCTTGGTACGCGATCTTGGTTCATAAAAAAGTCCCTGTTTTATTGAAAAATTGCTGTTGCCTCAAGGTTGTCGACTTGAAAATAACTTCTAAAGTATCAAGCATGTCTTTCTATTGGCGTGCGTACAAAATTTATTAGACTACTTGTTGACTTCTAATTAACCGATAAATTCTAATTAAGCAACTTCTAATGGTGAGGACTTGACTGTATAGCCATGTTGTAGCTACAATGTATAAACGGTTGCATACCTTGCTCTGCTTGAAAGGCTGTTGAAAATTTGCACAAGCGGAACACAAACACGCCTTGTGTATACTGGGAAACCTTGTCTGCTTTCGTATTGTTATTTTTTTATGAATTGAGGGCCTGGGAAAGTTTTTCTGGTCATATGCAGAACCATTTTTTCAGTGGAGCAAGTTAGTGCTATGAAGTGCAATGGTCTTGGGTGTGCTTGCATGTGTGCTTTATGGAAAAATACAACATGTCAGTGTCAGAAGTGGGCATGCCAATAGCAATTGCACTATTTGAACAGTAAACAGAAATGGTGCCAAAGACATGAAAAGGTCTATTTAACGTAAAGGAGTGGACACAGTCCGTTGCCCATTATTGTGTGAACTACCCAACAAATTGGGCTTTGTTCCGTATTGCTTGTATCATAACGCATTTTTCTTTGGTTGTCAATGGTCCCGTTTCTGCATTGTACGCAAAAAATGTGATTGCAATACATCAAGCATTAGATGCGTTTGTAGAGTGGCATGTACGTGGTGGTGTGTTTGGCATAAGGCCTGTATGTGTATGAGAGTTACATTGATGACTTTCTGTCTGCAGAGCAAGAAGAAAGCTGTGACAGTGGCTGCTGACACTTCAGAAGTGGCCAAAAAGATCAAAGAATTGTTTCGTTCCAAGATCTCTTCCCACATTGTGCACTGTCTGAACCCTTTCCGCAAACCAGATTGCAAGCTGGGGCGAATTCAAAGCACCGAGGACTTCAAGCATCTTGCCCGCAAAGTAAGTACACCTTATTTAGCTTTACCAAATTATCGAGGCTGAAATTGTTGATCGCGCCTCGCTGCGGTGTTCTAGTGGCTAAGGTACTCTGCTGCTAACCTGGAGATCGCGGGATCGAATCCCAGCTGCGGCGACTGCGTTTTCGATGGAGGCGAAAATGCTCTAGGCCCATGTGCTCAGATTTGGGTGCACGTTAAAGAACCTCAGGTGGTCGAAATTTCCGGAGGCCTCCACTACGGTGTCTTTCATAATCATATGGTGGTTTAGGGACGTTAAACCCCACATATTATTCAATCATTGTTGACCGGTAATCGCATGCTCATTAGTTCAGTAGTGGTAAACCTTTTAATTTGAGCTCATTTTTGTCAAATTTCTGCATTAGGTGACATGCAGTGCAAAGTTTTTTTATGGCAGCTTCATTAAAGAACTTGCTAGCTTAGAGGGCTATCATGGTCATGGGCTTTCTGTGAATATTTTGTGCATTTATGTTCTATTCTTTAATCAGGAGCAAGAGGATGCAACAACTCAACCTTAATACTGTTTTAATGATCTCATTTGAATTCTTGTATAGAAGGGATTGCCCTGCTCTGTGACAGCTTGTTAGACAGTGGCATGTGTTGGCAAGTGTGCTTTTGCTAGCAGGTTTCATTTAGCTCACGAGAATTGGCACGCACTTCAGGCTTATTGATGGTACAAATAGCTGGCAATACGCTCTTGTCTATTTTCTTCTCAGCTCACACACTTCGTGATGGCCAAGGAGCTGAAGCACTGCAAGAACGTCGAAGACTTGGAGTGCAACGACAATGTGAAGCACAAGGCAAAAGAGTTCATCCAGAAGTACATGGCCAAATATGGCCCCGTCTACCGGAAGGACAAGACTGTCTCCCCCAAGGACGAGTAGTGCGCCATTGATTATGCACAGAGAGGCAAACTGCAAGTAAATGAAGGGTGGCCGACATGACGCTGAATACTGCTGGCCAGCGTTACCAAGGCTGACTTCTGTCATCCTTTGACTGTCTTCGAGGCTCTAATCCAGGGACCACTAGACTGCCAGGCAGCATTACTCTTCCCATGTGTCACAATGTGATAAGTGTCGCACAATTGCCGGAAACTTCCAGGCAAAACAGTCGGTTGTAAGGAAGTGCATTGGGCACAAGTGCCTGGCCCGTCAAGTCCTGTAACAGTGGCGTTACACCACTGGCAGGCCACTGGCAGGCAGCCAGAGGTTTCAAGCTATTGTCGAAGCGGCGGAGTCTACCTAAAGTGCTTATCTGTAGGCCTGCACAAGTGAATGAACACTTGGTCCTGTACTGCTTTTCCCAGGAAACAGTTCATCAGATAGATTACAGTTGCTGGGAGCTGTTTTGTGCGAGTACAGCTTTAGCGGCCGATTTGCACTTTGCAGGCCAGTGTGAATGGATTCAGCGGGGATGCCATACACTTTGGACAGGTCAAAGCGTCCCTATTTCTTTGGCTTCAAATCATTTGTTCATACCAGTGATTTTCACCTATTCATGGTGGGGAATTGAAAGTTAAGCTTTTGTGATGAACTGGTTCTGTGCTGCCATAACGTGATGGACTTGCCTCCCATTTATTTCTTGCATGATTTTAGCTCGTTTCTTTCTTCATTATCGGATTTTCTTGTTGTCTCATGACCTTACAAAACCCAAAGGTGAACATTCTAACACATCTTGTTTCTGTAGTTGCTGCTAATTCAGAACAACTGTGCCTGTATGAATTGTGCTACTGATGATTCAACTCCTTTTCCCTTCATGTAGTACACAAGACGCATGATTTTTTCTGAGGAAAGTCGCTGACAATGCATGTAACACTTATTGATAGTTGTTGTGCAAGAAGAGTCAATCGTGTTGGAAATCGATTTGGAGGTGTCACCATTCTGTAATTAATTCATATTGCACTGGGATCGGCAAGAAACGACGGTCCCCTCTTGTACAGTCTCATTGCTATCACTTTTTCGACTGAGGTTGCGGAAGACTCTTTGAAGCGCAACTTTCCCTCACATATGCCCTCACCTCTTCTTTGTCTTTCTTTTGTGTACATAAAGTTGTTCAATTTATCTTTATTTAACTATTATGTGAAATGACCTCGCTGCACGATGCTCGTCATATGCTGTCAAGTCCTCTCTGACGACGATGCATGGCTTAACAATATTCAGTGCAGTGTGGAAATGTTGACACCTATAATTTGAGCAGACTCCTTTTGAGCCAAAAAAGAGTCGCGAGTTCGCGCTGTAATTTTTCTTCGTTCATTTTGGGGGCATTGTAAATATGGTAAGAGCATATACGTAGAAACTGTCATCTGATGTACAATAATGCCACATTCAGATGGCTTGATCCAATGATTGGAATAAAACATACATATTTCATATTTTTGGTACCCCTCTGCCATCCTTTACACTTGTTCACTAGGCATATGCTCTGTCTGTAGGCCACTTCAGGAAGTGATTGTTAGCTGCTAAATTATATATTGGAAACGTGTAGTATGCAGATGTAACACACTTTTGTTACAACAATTTTTATTGTTGCCAGTAAGCTGCAGTTTTGAAAACATAAGTTGAACATATGACTGTCCAATAATATAAGGTCAATTAATTGTCTGGCTTTGAATTTGGGTCTCTGAAGAAGCGTGGAACCTTGGGCAAGTTGGTAAGACAGTTACTTAGTAACTACTTCTAGGTTGCGCTGTTCCTACATTCAGAATTTGGGTCCTATAGAAGAAGTTTTAACATAATGGCACATTAGTCGGTCAGTGACAATATCTTAATTCCTGCATCGTAAAAGGTTTACTTCCAGAATAAATGAAGTGTGGTGTTAATACATTACTGCCAAAACGTCTGGCATGCCTCTACTTATGCTGTGAGAACTTCTGTGTGGCAGGTGGTGTGGAGGCACGTGGACTCTGTAATGAAAGACCTGATGAAGGCACAATTACATACAGTGATATAGAAAGTAGTTCTCTGCTCCTCCCACTCGAAAAGTGTGAAGCCTTATCAACGAGTATGCCTAGATCAATGGAGAGATTAAAGTTCATTTCCCGAGCCCCTTGTCCACAACCCTACTGCCTCTTGCCCTTCATGATGTTGACTGGAACATAAAAGAGTTTATTAAAATTCACTGGAGGAGACTGTGGCGCTGCGATCGTTCAGTAACCATAAAAATGATGGGTATGACATGGATTGGCCTAGTCTACGTGCTTGCGGGCGGCGTGCACACTTGTGACACTGTTTATTGTGGTGTTTTGGTTTTGTTTTGAAGTAAAGAACTAACAGTTTTTCACTTCATTATCCAATTTGAAGTGGCAAGCCTAAAAGATTAAGGTGGTGAAGTGCAACTGCAGAACATTTGCCAATTGTTGTTTTGTGACAAAGCAGCATCAAGCCATGCAAAGCCAGAACGCACATAAAGTACAAAGACTAGGCAAATCCATGTCATACCCATCATTCCCATGCTGGCTGAATCGCTGTGTGTTACAGCTCCCATAGACACTAGCGCCAGAGTTCCCTCTTGTGGATATTTAGAAAACTCTATGGACTGGAAGATTGATTTTTTGGCAGAGATGAGCGTGCTGTCATAGTACTGCTTGAACCAGTTTTAACCTGGCCTTCACATATGTTGGGCCTGATGGAGGCAAAAGTCAACAGACCCGTGTGCACATTAAGGAACTAAATGTCGTCCAAATTCCTGTAGCCCTCCACCATTGCATCCCTTAATCAACTTGGGCTTTGGGTAGGTAAAACCCCATAAATTATTTGAAGTGTTGAGTCTACAGCTTTAAAAACACTAGTTTCACAAGGCACATGTAACCGTGGTAAAAGTGGGGCGAAACGTTGGACTCATATTAAAGATTGGTGTGAGGACTACTATTTCTTGCTTGAACGCTTCATACTAGTACATATTTTATGGTCGTACACAACTTAACCATTTTGAGGGATAATTGGATGAATCTGTTGCACTTCAGTAAAACCTTCCTAAGCCACTGCACGTCACTATCAGCGCTGCGATTTTCTATTGTTGTGGCACATGTAGAAAACCAAGATGAACTACTTCACACGTTTTCAAGACGTGGTATCGGTGACACACTGAATTAGACTCACGTTTTTTCTATAGAATTTTTTAAAACTCTTGTACTACTGCGTGTACAGTAGCTAGAGTTCTAGATTTATAGCATCTTTCTCATTTTCTTAGTTTTGAGTATAGTAGTATAGTTCTAGTGTATTACTGTGGATTTTGTTCTAGGGTCAAAGCTCCTTACGCCGTGGGCTCTGCGTCCTGCGTTTGTAGTATGTAGTAGTAGCCACTTTTCAATTAGTCCTTAGAATGTCCGCTGGATGGCAGCACTTGTATATGATGAATATATGATGAAAAGATGCAAGAAGGCGATACTTGGACGGACAGACAGACGAACGGTCGCACAAACAGACTGACAGACGCTTTGCCCCATTCATCATTCACTCCATGGATATGCTGTGATTTTTTTTTTTTCGTAATTGGATTACTGCAATGGCCAATAACGTGTCGGAGCCTAATTGAAAGGGACACTAAAGAAGAAAACAATTTTTCTCTTATTATTGAATTACCCATTCACAATTCCAAAATCACTGTGGGAAGATGCTTAATAAGTGAGAAAGTGTGCAAAAAGAAAATGCGGGTAGTGACGCTGCCTTGAAATTTCCGCACCAAATGCCGTGACGCAAGTTTCGACGGTGTTCACTTAGGCTTACATAGCTCGTAATACGTAAAATGAAACACTGTGTCTGCTAAAGGAGCCAGGGACTTGCCATACGAAGATTCGGGAAATTTCATCAAGCCTTGTTGGCGAAATACGACAATTGTACTCCGAAACTTGTGATGTCATGCGCGCTGATTTTGGTACTAAATTTAAAAATACATTTTGGCCTTCGTTTTCTTCTCTAATAATGAACTTACGATAATGAACTTACGACATTACAGTTCTCAGAGGACATTTTATCAATCTAAACCAATTCATTGTTTTACTTTATAGTGTCTTTTGAAGCATTTGCTTGCTAAGCCTAACTGCATAACAAGCACGGGTGTTTTTGTCTTGCTTGGTGGGCATTTTACGTCACAAGATAACTAATGATGCAGATGGCTCATGATTCGCTTCCTTTTAGCCTTTTTTACCCCCAATAGTCCTATGTGACCAAAAGCTGCGGCTAAGACATTGATCCTGAAGTTAAGGGCCAAATGAAAAGAAAGGTGAGATTGGTGCTCTAGACCAGGGATCGGCAACTGTTTGAGGCGCATGGTTGAATTGTGTGAAACTGACACAGCAAGTGTTGCATGACAGATCGAAGGGGAAGGGGGGGGGGGGGGGCGACATTGCAGGCGAAAAGATAATTTGGTACATTCACAAAAGCATACAGGACTGAAGTGCTCTAATCCTGTTGATTTTCATTGTGCATGTCGTAAGGTTACAATTTACAAACATAGTGTTGCAACGACAGCATTTGCCAAAATGAATGCAAGACAGAATGCGCATGCTTCTTTTTCCTCTCTCCCCTTGTTCCCTCTCTGCACTATTTGCCTCCCTTTCGTGATGTAAGAAGAAGACTGTTTAATGAAAAGGGGGGAGAAGAGGTCGGCCTTGAAAGCGGCTTTCTGGCCTGCTACTCCTCACGGGGATAAGGGGAAAAGGGAAAGAAAGAGGAGGGTATGATGAGGGGTGATTGTGGTATAGTATAATTAGTCACTGCACACAATGTCTCGTTCGGTGTAGTACACGCACAAAAGTCTCTACATTAGCAGATTCTGTAAAGACGGGAATCTAAACCTGTCTTGCTCAGAAATATAAATTTCAAGTTCAGAATAAACTCTCGTCTTCTGCCTGGCGACATCGACCAGTTCATGCCTCCGGCGGTGTCTCTGCAGCCAATGTAACACATAGATACCTATGCCAACTGGAAGTGATCTTTCTTTGTTCCTGTCTTACCCTATTTGAGGTCGAAACGCCGTGTCCACCTGCAGATATGAACTGACAAATTGAGCGAATACAAAATAACTTTAAGAAGGGGAAGATGGAAGCTTGTGATGAGAAATTCGAAGACAGGGGTAGGGTACTGGTGTCGATGTTTCGACAAGCGGACTTGTCTTTTTTTTTTTTTTCGTTGCAGCGGCATTGAAAAAGACAAGGCGGCTGGTCGAAACGTCAACTCCAGCACCCACACCACGTTTACAAATTTCTCAAGGGGAAGGAAGGCACATTGTGCCGGGTGCCATATGATACTTCCCTGCAGGCCGCGAGTTGTCAACCCCTGCTCAAGACAGTGGGAAAACGAAAGAGAACGCAAGTACACAAGATTTGGGGAAAACCTCTGACCTGAATGGAATTCATAAGTACATCTACAGGATTCAGTGCATTTGGTGACACCACGTTGAAATGGCTTGCTTAAATAAAAGCAGAAATTTTATATAGGGGCGGACATTCAGGCATAAGTCAGTTACTCGTCTTTACAACAATAGAGACTTAGGGGAGCTGAAATTGGGGAACCCACTAGGCTTCAACTTTAAGAAGAGTTCAACGAGATAACGATATTGTGTCCCTACTGCATACTTCAACCACTTAGTGCATGCTTTTTGTTGTGTGATGTTACTGGAGAAGTTCCAATTGTGGATTACTAAAATGCAACAATGGATAGTGGCCTGTGTCAATGAAGCTTCTGTGTAATGGATAGCATACTTTATTAAACCATGAGAAATTATGCTAGTGAAATGTTTTTGCACATACTATGCACCCACTATGTGGCGATACGGGAATACGCAAAGTAACATGAATGCCTTTTGTAATGGGCAGCCAGCTTTAAACCATGAAGTCTTAATGATGACACGCATGAAGATCATGTAGCCCTTGACCGCACTTTACAAACAGTAACGAAATGGTGCTCCGATTGGCAAATGACATTAAATGCAAAACAATCAACCCTACTCATAATGTCGAGAAAAAGGAATAAATCATTATTCCCGTATAAAATTAATGACACGGAATTAAGCGCCATTACTTAACATAAATACTTGGGATTAACAATAACTGATGACCTTAGATGGAGTAGTCACATAAGCCACATAACAGCGACCGCGCTCAAACGACTCTTTTTCATCAGACGCCGCCTCCGTTTAGCCCCCATAGATACCAAACTGTTGGCTTATAATACATTTGTCCGACCGATACTACAGTACGGAAACATAGTATGGTTTCCTTTTACTAAACAAGACATCGCTAAACTTGAAGGTGTACAAAGAAAGGCAATACGGTTCATTTTTAACAAGTATGGGCCACATGAATCACCTACGGTGTTAATGGAAATTGATGGTATAGATACTCTACAGCGCCGAGCCAGAATAGCTAGACTGAAATTTATGTACTTAATAGTTCATAACAAAGTAAATATTGATGCCACGAACTTTATAACAAGTTTACAAACACGCCCTACCAAACATAATCATACGGAGATGCTTACTGAATACACCTTCCATACCGACTGTTTCAAAAATTCACTTTTTCCATTGACCATAAGAGAATGGAATAACCTTCCCTTACATATCATAGAAAGCACATCACTAACACAGTTCTTAACTGCACTTGAAAGCGTACCTTGAACCCTGACAGACAGTTTTTTTTTTTTTTTTTATGTATGAAACTACACCTGTCACAGTTCTTCATCCATTGTCTCTCTTACTTTTTTCTTTTTAAATACCAGAAACCCCACAGTAATCATTTTTCGCCTCGCTCTAAAGCACCACTGTGTAAAAATGCTTACACCATAGTCTCACAATGCTTTTTCTTTTTCTCCTTTTTTTTCTTCCCTTGCCTACGGTTTTTTTTATGCGAACCTGTTTTCTTTATTTTATTGTGCCACTAATCGCTCTTGTGTTGCACTTTTTTTTATAATTAGTTGGTGTTTCCTTTGTATCACAATTTGTGTTATGTTGTATTCAACTATTGTATATGCCCTCCTGCTATGATCCCTTTGGGATTGGCAGTATTTACAAATAAATAAACAATCACATGTTCTAATGCCCGATTGCAATGTACACTTGTACCATGCAGTATTAGTGCAATATTGCATGTTGTATTGTGAATGCTGTATACACGACATATCTGTCTGTAATGTATGGGTTATTTTCACGGAATTTCCAAGCAGAGAAAGTTCTTTTCATTGTACTTCCAAGGAGACGCATGGCTATGTGGTAAAACACCAGCTTTCCACACAAACAGCCTGGTTTCGATCTTCACTCGAAGCCGGAAATCTTTATTTCATTTGCATCTTTCTTGATTTTTCAGTCGTGGACCATCTCGCATCGACGGCCACGCCGGAATTTCTGTGAAACGAAATCTTTAACGCCCTCGCATTTAAATCGTTGGTGTATGCAAAGAGGTCAGGCAGTCGCTAGCACAGCATAACAGGCACAAGTGTACCTTGTGTACCACAGTTGGAAAAGAGTTGTGCCAGAATTTTTTTTTTTGCATGGTTTTTGAAGTGCCCAGGCGTACCACTTGCTTTAAGCCTTTCTGTCAGGAGAAATGGGGCATAAGGATCACAACTTGGTGCACTCATGACATGACACATCACAGGTGGTGTCTTACTTTTACAGACAAGTCATAGGTCAATGCAATGTATACGTCCCACTTTTTTCTTGTAACGGAACGACAATATTTGATTTTTTTTTTTTTGAGAAAATTGCTTCCATTTTTAAGCATGTTTAGATATTCTGCAGGCATATTTTCTGTTGTACAAAACAAAAAATAGGTGACCCACTAAGGCAAGAAAGGTTTCTTTGACTCTGTAGACCCTGCTCATATAGCAGACAATGTTCTCCAATGGTGAAGTAAGTCTCTGACCGTGCTATTGACGTTGTTCTCGAGTGCACGCTTGTTGGTCAAAGCTGCTTAGAGGTGCAAATGTCGCTGCCTCCTTAAGTTGCACAAGACCTTTTGAAAAACGGTTCCTTGGGCACCGCCATAGTCCTTTCTTGGCGACGCATTACCCCCCACCCGCAAAAGAAAATGCGCTGCCGAGGCTGTGACTCCTGCCTTAGTACTTCTGTGCACAGCCCATTATGGCGGCATTTTTTAACCGCTGCAGCAAAAAGGTATATAGTTAGAATGGAAAGCTAGACTACAAGCGTAAGACCAGACTGTGCCACTTAATCTGCTCCCCTAACATATTTAATGAGTGCATTTCAAGTACTGGGCCTGCTCGGCTTGTATGAACAATTTATGTCAAGATATTGTGATGCATGACTAAATTGGCTGCGTAGTTGTGAGCTTAGTTGTGCATGACGAAAGTCATAGCACGATAACAAAACGACGGCACAGAGACAAGAAGGATACGCTCGTGTCGTTCTTGTCTCTGTCGTCGTTTTGTTCTCGCGCTATAACTATCGTCACGCCATACCAACTAGCCCAAGGTGTCACACTTAGTTTTGCCTTCTGTTGCTTGTTCTGACAGTGTGCTCTTATGCACCAGCATTCCCACCAGGTGGCACGTGTGGCTGGAACTCAACCTGTCAACCTCGAATTTCAGCATATCAGAAAAGTGAGTTGAGGGGGAAGCCATGGGAGAAGTAAGCTGGTGTATGTTTTACTGTTCACAAAGTTGAAGCGACATAAATGAACAACTGCCAGAGTACAGTTTGTGACATAAAAATCAGTGGCACTGTTATACAACACTTGCATAGTCAAAGGATAAAATGCAACACCAGCGTACTGTGGCTCGAACGGCCATCTTCATCGGCTGCCTAACAATTATGGCGCACTCAGGTGCATGCCCAAGCGTTTCGTCCCTCATGCAGCGTGGTCCGCGGTTAGGAGAAACAAAGTGCATGGGCATGCACATGCACCTGAGCGTGCCATAATTGACAGGCGGCTGATGAAGATGGCCGTTCGAGCCACAGTACACTGGTGTCACATTTCATCCTTTGATTACGCAAGTGTTGTATAACAGTACCACTTTGATTTTTATGTCACCAACTGTACTCTGGCAGTTGTTCATTTACTCCACTTCTTATTTTGTTGTTTCTGTCTGAGTATCAGCAAGCCAGCCCCACTACAATGGAAGTTATTCCAACAAATTAAGTTTCTCATAGTGCTAACTGTGCATCCTGCATGCATATCAGTCAGAATCGTGAAACGATGCACTTATTGTTGTGAACCACGAGCAGATGGCACGTCTGCCACTAGGACATCGTAAATTGCCCTTTTCCAGTGACGCCACACTGCCACGATATGTCGCCAAGAAGCCAACCGAAAGATTATGTGATCCATTTCCAAGCAGTACAGTAACCTTACTTCACCGTGGTGCTAGCACTTTTTGGGAGATTTGCAGTTGTGCCCATACAGTCTGCCAGACAGCTTTCATGTGGAAGTCTCCCCAGCAAATCACGAGACTGCACGTGTGGGTTCTTACCGGTCTGAGTACAGTGAATGATTATAAGGTTCTCACTTTAATAATTTAAATTCTGAAAATCTTCCAAGAAAATCGTGACAAGCTTGTGATACCACTGCAGCACATTTAGATAAAGCTGAAATACTTGTTTTTTTCCTTTTTAATTTATACAATCATTGTTGCAGCTGCATTTCGCTCCCATTGAAATTAAGCCTCCCTGAACAAGAACTGAATTCGTACTTTTGCACTTAGCAGCAAAACACTTTAGTCACAAAGCTACCACAGTTGATGGCTTTGAATGCTGTTCGAAGAATACTCAAACACAAATCAACTAGTTTGCAAGTGAACAAGACTTTTTTTTATTCACACACTATTTGACAGCCACACGCGGTGCATTGGGCCCACGTGCCAGGTCCTGCAATAGAACACAGAGATTTATTCAAGACTTCCACATTGACCAACATGCTACACAAGAAGTACTAGTGGGTATAAAGCAGCAAAGGTGAACTGTCACAAGCACAACAGGTTTAAGAATATATACATGTTTCTGGTTTTGAAGTTAAAAAAGTGGGGAAAACAAAACTGAATTAGCTTATATTCTTGAGAATAATTCAAGCCTACACATTAAATGCACAAGTTAAGCTGTGTGGCACCAAACTCCACACTGAATGTCACATGCATTACACAACTACTGGCAATTAAATACAGGCAGAGCTCTGTCAACCATACCAATTAACATCAGAAGCTGTTTCAAAGTTTCAATACCTGCATGTTGGCTTAGGCATCTGATAGTGACATAGCTAAACCGAGCTATGCATCGCGAAGTGTAATAAGCACTGCTTTCATACTAGGTATGTACCACGCGTTCAACTTGTAAAATCTAGTTATAGTGAAGCAGTCCAAATTGTTGGAGTTTGCATTGTCTGTAAACAAAAAGTTTACTTCACAAGGTAAATAAACATTGCTCGGCCCCTAGCTACAACAGGCTGCAGCTGTGAACCAAGAGTGGTACGATGCATGTGCAGCCTTCAATTGGTCAACCTTTCTAAATCGTAAGAATAGCAGCTGTCTGTTAACTTGCACATCAAAGATTGCTTCTCGCCATTACATGTCCCATGGAACATCAGAGGACAGTACACCACATGAATCAGACAATTACACTAGAGATATGATAGGAGGCTTTAATTATCTTTAACTGTAATGCACATAGAATCCCACTGACCTTTTGCCCACTTCAATATATGTCATAATTAATTGATTTGTGGGGTTTAACGTCCCAAAACCACTACATGATTATGAGAGACGCCGTAGTGGAGGGCTCTGGAAATTTAGACCACCTGGGGTTCTTTAACGTGCACCCAAATCTGAGCACACGGGCCTACAACATTTCCGCCTCCATCGGAAATGCAGCCGCCGCAGCCGAGATTCGAACCCGCGACCTGCGGGTCAGCAGCCGAGTACCTTAGCCACTAGACCACCGCGGCGGGGCTATATGTCATAATTAGAATACTACATTTAGATAAAACAGTGTCCCTTATGCTCCCCCTGGCCTAATTGTCTGGTTCACCTGGCTGCCCTTGTTCAATAGGCTGGGAGCATGAAAACAGATAATGGAAAGAGACCTACACAAAACGATTGGAGTGCTCTCTAACACTTGTTTGTTTACACCAAAGAAGAACAAATTTAAACAAAAATGTGTGCATGTCCAAAATATTATCATGACATGCACACTTCTGCATATAAATGTGGTCTTGTGACGGGCTATTAAACCAGTTGTGTCTGTCGTCTTCACGCAACCAGTCTGCAGAAAAAAATATGAAGCACCAACTAATCCACCTGTGGATGTTTTTGCAATCACGTGGCTCAAATATAAAGGAGCCCCTAGGAAAAACGGCGGGCAGTAGCACAAATGTGTGGAACAAAAACTCACCGCCGTGGCCCTGGGGAACCTCGGGGGCGGTGCGCGGTCCTTGCGTGCCTCCTTGGACCTGTTGCGCACGATCTTGGAGTGAATGGCGCAGGAGACGCAGTAGTGAAGCTTGGCGTACAGCTTGGGCAGCGGGTACGACTCGTACACGCTGGCCACCGTGATGTCTCGCACGGCGGCCGCCTCCACGATGTTGCGGATGACGAACTTCTTGATCGCCTTGTCTTTGGGCACGCAGCGCGCACAGTTGGTGCACCGGACGGGCTTTACGTGCCCGCGGCCGTGCTTGGAGCGCCCGTTGTTGCGCCTCTTGGACGTCTGGGCAAGATTCACGAAGGGTCAAGCGTGGTCGCACGGTAAAATCGCATTCGTGATAGCATGTGCGTTACCCACAATACAACACGATTAGGTTAAGTTGTTGCACTACAATATTTATCACTGTTCATGAACAAAGAAATTCGGATTAAATGCTGAAACGGTGAAAACACAGCACTGGCTTTTCCTGCGTGCAACAGGCACTTGCGGCTTCGCAAACTTCGCGAGACACGAGAGTCGCGTAGACATACAGGAAAGTACTCGCAGAACTGACAACAATTTCATCAATAACACATTAACTTTGCTTTCACAATGCGAACAAGTGCTCCAACTCCCAAGACGAGAGATGTGCCGGTGCCAACCCTGCAACACATGGTGTCGCCTAAGCCTAATACAAATGTCTATTTCCGTGCACTAGCGTTGTTTTCAGGCAGCTTCGTGCGCCGTTGTGAGTTCTGCACATACATACTGAGCAGTACGTCAAATGCCGATCCGATTTCACACCTTAGATATAATTTAACAGACAAAAATTGCGAAGAGCGGAGCGCCATGCTTACCATGTTCGACGAGCAGTGAAGCCGAAAAGAGTGTGACAGCGTGCTCCGTCGAAAAATAGTGCAGTCGACGTTTCTCTACTGCGACAATTTCGACAAACAGTTGTAAGTTTTATTTCTGTCAATAAAAACTATTAAATGTTTTATTACTTACTAGGGCCAATGCACCAAATTTAGCGAAGTAAACTTGGAAAGTCGGTTGGCATTTGTGCGCGGATGAACACACAGAAAACTTTTTTGACATTTTAACACCTAGTGACGATCTTGTGCACTACCTAACTCGTAAAATGTAAAATAGCTGTGAAGTTATACAACAATAAGCATTTGTAATATAAATAAATATTGTATTTTTGAGCTCAATTTATATAGTAGTTTTAGGTTAGAGTTGTTTATTTAAAGAAGTGAAGTTTGTAATCTTTACAACTTCTGCCTGCGCCAACAATTAAGCTTGAAAGTTGTTCTTTCCTAATAAATTAATACAACATAAAACAATTTAGTCAAGGATTTGTAAAGTAAAAAGTACTTTTAATAACGCACAAAGTTTTTTAAAAGTTTTTGTTGGAAGCTTTTGAAAGTGTAAGGTGACGCTACTAAACATTTTGAAGCAGACAACTTTTTTATGTTCTAAAACTTACGTAGCAAATAAAAAAATACTGCAAAAAATTAAATGTCTTGTTTTTTAATTTAGGCATTGTGTTTTTATTACTTAATTTTGTAGCTTTTGAGACAAAAGTGTTGTAACAAGTTTTACACATTGGCCAATGGGAGTTTGCCGCTGTCTGTACTGCGGAGCTAAGGTCGAGCGCCGTTTGTTGCGCCGCCTGTTGACGAAAGTGGCAACGTGCGGAGAAAAGTACGCGTTGATTCGCGGCGCGCGGATGGGAGAAGTGTCTTGTGAGCGCGAGTCGGCGGCGGCGATTTTCAACGGTGTCTCGTGCCCGTCAGGTGTGAGCATGCGTCGTCCGTGACAGTGTGTGGATCCAACGTGCTCAGGATTCGCCGGATCGCTACGATGGATTTATTCTTCCGGACTGTTGTCGTCTTCGGCGTCGCCGCAAGGCTGATCGCCACTGTCCACGGCGTCTTGGAAGAAAAAGGCAAGTCCCCCTGCCGTCACGGTCCGCTGGTCTGGCCGCGGCTGTCACGCTACGCTGGTCTTCTTAAATGGACTCCTCGGGGTTGGCGTCGGCAGACGCTCGCCTTTGGGGACAAAGTTCGCAGCGGCAGGTGACTTTAAAAGGACTCTCTTTAAAGTCGGTAGCAGTAACCGTTGGTCAGGGACCGAGCCGCGACTCTTGTCTTTAGAAGTCCTTGCGCACGGAACAACTGCTCGAGCTAAACCCTCGCAGTGTGTCTTGCTTAATCGACCAACTGTTTTTATGAAACCTCAGTCCTTTTCATAACGAGTTGCTGAACCCCTCCTCAGCTGGCGAAAATCGCGTCAACTTACAACGGTTCGCATTCTCGCACATTGTCGGGCGAAGAAATGCGTCGTGATTTCACGACCGAATTGAAACTGTTTTGAATCGTCTAGTCGCTGGCGAAATGTTTCGTGCTTTGTGAGTTATTGGAGACCTACCTGTCGGTCGTAACAAATGAAACAATTACCTTTACGTTTCACTGTGGTACTGATTATTGTAACTACCGCGCTTGGAATATTGACATAACGCTGGGCCCGTTCTCGAGAACTGATAACAACGGGTCGTTAGCGGCTGGTTCCAAGGTCCATTGCCTTCACTTTGTCATTTAGCGGCTGTCCAAGGTCCAGTCCGTCACTTTGTCATTTCCCCAACTCCAAGCTGCTTAGCCACTTGCGTGTACGTAATGATGATGTGATGAATGGGTTAATTTTTAGCCTAGCCGTTTGGCTTCGATCGCCTTCTTATGCTGTGGGTGTTTGAATTACTTGGCCACATTTCCAGTCAACCACACGTGCGTATACATCTCACAAGGCTTAGATACAGCCACATTCATGCGTGGCAGTTCTATTACGAAAAGAATCGTTCAGGACAAGATACTTCAAAGACCAACAAGATGAGCGAAAAATGTCAGAGCAACCGCTTTTTGGATGTCTAGGCATTGGTGCTCGTATTTCTGTCTGTCCTCTGTCTCTTACATGTGTACGTGTTTTGTAGCGCTAAAATTACATTGTTATGCTCGTTTTAACAAGTGGCATTCTACTACTTCTTGAATCCATCTAAAGCTGGAAACTTCAGACAAATGTATCGTCCCTTCCCATGTCATGTGTCAAATAATTTTTGCGCTAGCCTGAAACTTCAGGCACGCCGCATAAATTTTTACATTTCTGGAATGCTTGTCAACGATTCTGAGCGTTCTTTCGATTCAACGCAAGCATTCAGTCAAATTGTTCATTGCAAGCGTCTTCTTTCTTTTTTTTTCTTAAAATATTTTTAGGTAAACCGACGTGCACTCATAGCGTAATGACGTCGAAGAAGTCCCTAAAGGCCACCAGTTGACACATTCTAACAGCATTACAAACGTATCTTTAAATCAGAGAATGAGCTTTCCATTTTGTGCCGATAGTGCCACAGCCTGGCCACGGCTGTTTATTAATCTGTCGTCGAGCTGTGATTTCCAAAAAGAAATCGGAAGTGTGGTGAGCTCGTCTAATCGACCGTCAATGAGAGGTTTCAAGCGCGTTGTGACATGTCAGTCTCATATCGCAATCCATCGTTCCTATCAGGCAAGTAATACTTCGTTCGGATTACACTCTCTCTTCGGACATTCCTTCGGTTGTGCGGCTACACTCGTTCCGTGGCTTCAGCGGAGACAAACATCTCTCGTCGTCGCATTGGTCCCCATCGCGATACGCCAAGTTTTCTTGACGACAGGCCGTGTTTCCCAAACTTTATATCATCATAATTGTTCTTTTAACATTATTGATCGCTTTCGGTTTCTTCTCCTAAAGCGTGCGGAGAGAGGGTGAAGAAGCCGGCACATCGAAGCCAGTGTTGCGCGTGGTTTAGAAAAAAGCGCTGCCTGCTCGATCGTTCGCCCTCCAGTCAGGTTTGCCGGAGGGGAGGATGCCACCGTAGAGGCGAGGGAGAGCAGGGCTGGAGTAGATGTTACGCTGCTCCGTCGGCGCGGTCTTCAATGAAACCGGCTTTTGCGAGTTTTTGCTTTCTTCTTCGTGCTAGCCGCCGACCTGTCGTCCCAAGCGCAGCCTTTGCTTGCTTGGTCCCCTTCCTGTCTAGCCCGCTGCTTTTACGTGCTGTACATTCATCCGCAATCCCCCCACTACTTTTTCGGAGCTCTGTTCCCTGTAGATTGGAGCCGCGCTTACTCGGTCTTCTGTGTGTCTTTCGATGATCTGCCTCTGCGATGATTGTGTGAATCTTTTTTTTTTCTAGGGAAGGGGGGGGGGGGGTGCCGAGTCGTTTTTGCAAGCAGCCTCGCCGATTGAAGGAGGTAGAGGTGCGCTTTGATATCAAGCTCGGGAGGGAGCTGAACAAGGGTTCCATTCGCTCCATGTCTGTTGTCTCACGGCGGCGGCGTCGACATGCTCGTGAAAAATTGCCCCGCCCGCGAGTTGTCTCTTCCTGGATTCCGAACCATTTAGATGAAGTACCAGTCCTTAAAATCCGAACAGCTTTGTTGGCCCGAGTAGTTATAAAACTTGCACCGTGCCTAGTTAGGGTTTGTGTACGTGTCGAAAGTATAGTTCGCCTCCTACCTGACATTTCTGCTTTTTGTTTAAGTCAGTGTACAGGCGCATCGAATACAACGCACCAATTGCAGAGGTCTCTCACCTCATTTCTCACTTGGGCCTTGGCGGGTGAATTGCAAACTGCGCGAATTTACGTAAGTGTCACATAAGCGGCATGTAAAAAGAAGAAAAGAGAGAGATAGCGCAGGTTTCGGGAAACAGAAGGTTCAGCGAATTTTTTTATGAAATGGCTGTACGCATACCACTTTATGTACAGAGGCCAGTTATTAGTTGTTTATGTTCACCTTATGCGCACCGACCCATCCATATATATTCAGGGAATGCGTTTACTTGGTGCAGAAGACCGAGGCGCAAAAAACATAACGTGAAGCAGGAGAGAAGACAGAACAGCGCCAACGCCTCAATCTTCTGCCCCAAGTATGCACCAACTAGCCCAAAAACAAGTCCTCTTGGAATGCGTTTACATTACGTATTGCTAAGTAAGTGCAGACGGAGGTCCCAGTTTGGACGTCTCCTGTGCGCAGTAGGTGTCAGGGTAATCAATATTAATTTACAAGATTCGTTCGACGCTCGCTAGATGTGCCTTTGGGGTATTCCTGTTGCTCGGAGTACCTTGAATAAGTCAGGCAGGAGGAACTTGCAACTACCTATGCCAAAAGGTGTCTTCCCGCGGATTTTACGAGAAGGTCCGGAAACATTGTTGAGTGGAAAAGCGAAAAACGAGAAATTACGGTCGTGGTCGAAAGAGTGCAAACCACCTGACAGGCATCTGCTGCCTGTACACGGACAGCGGGAGCGTTTACTTGCTCGGATACAGGCGAGACGAGAGGTCACGCGCAGGGCAGGCCTGTAGTGAACGACGGTGGCTCTTCTTGCCCCGCGCTTCTGGTCTTCTTTGTCATATACGAAACAATGTCACTTCCCTCGCCCTCATTCTACTGGCTCTGCCTTTTCGCTCCGTTGTGCCACATTTTTTTTTTTTTTCGTTTCAAAGCCCGGCGCCCCGCTGCTCTCTCTTGTTTCGTTGTCGGGCATTTTTTTTCTTGCGAAGCGCTGTCAAGATCAGAGATAGAGAAAGGATTGATCATGCTACACCAAAAGCTGGCACGTGAAAACGTGGAGCACAGGGACGGCGACGTGGAGGTTGCATGGCAGAGGTGTCAAACGCGGGCAAACCAACTCGCTCTCATTCGTATCCGCGCAGCGGTGGCTTCTGTGCCCGCTCGGTCCACGCAGCTTAGTCTTCGTCCGCTTCGTTTCGCTAATCGGGTGGTGCGCTGAGGGAAAGCTGCAGGACGTGATTCAAAATGCGGGGGAGAGGAGATGGAAGGCCGCATTTAAGCCCACGAAGCTTATCACCCGTTCGTGAGTTTCAGCTGACGAGTTATCGAAACATCAGCTTAATTAAAACGCAGCTTTCGAGGTGTTCTGGAATTCTGAACTTGAACTCTTGACAGAAGATTGTGAAAACAGAAGTGGGGGCAGGGACATTTTGTCTGTGTGTTTTACAGCGCCGC